TTCCGGGCACGATTGTCTAGCGCGTGTTTATCGGGGTGCCTAGCAACGGTCACGAGTATAAAGTGCAAAATTCGGGCTTTCAAACGATACATCATGCGACAAAATTGATCAAAAGGTTGCGAAGATTTTCGATTTTAAAACTCTATTTTTTTGCAAAACCTGTGACAACCGCAAATTGTCACAAGATAGGACTTTGCAGCAAGTTTTAAGGATGAAAAAGAAGAGGTTTTTAAAGAGTTTTACATATAAAATATATTGTAAAACATAAGGGAGTGTGCATATGTTTCAAGTCAAGTTCTTGTCCAAATCAAGTCGCGCGATTTTCAGCCAGAAAAACAGCAATTTCTTTCAATCTAACGGAAAAGTGAAGTGAGAAATCACAAGAAACATGAACACTAAATCCAAGTGAGTAGTTACGATTTTTTTGAGCGTGTTTTTGAATGAAAATACCTGGCATGTTTTCATGAAATACGATATAGCATTAAAGCAAGTTCAATCTAGTTTAAAACTAAGTTTTTAGAAGAACTTTTTGTGCATTTTATGGCATGATTTCGACTGTTTTCGTGACCCTACTGTTGGTCGTCTTGCTCAAGTTGTTATTTTAGCTGAAGTACTTTCAGAAGACAGTAGGTTCAACTTGTCATGTGCGTATATACATTTTGGCAAGAAAAATTTCGAGTAAAACCGCATTAAAACTAAGTAGAATACTCTACAATGAATACTATATCTGTTTCTATAAACTTTGTCTCAAAACGAGCTCTCATTTCAGAGATAATGTGGCTTAAAATCAGTGTATTGAATTATGCCGTTACTTGGCGTGTGCGAATTCTGAACCTTCATGACAGGGATTTGAAAAGCTTCTAAAATACACTTTATCGCTTCATATATCCCCATAAAATTTTTAAATCAATAAAGCACATCATAAAACTAATGTACGCTCATTTTCTAAGAAGTACTCATCGATTACCTGAAGGAAAAGTTTAAAATAGGTCAGGAGAGCAGTTTACAAAATGCCATTCTCCTCTGAAATGGCTTCTTTTGCGGGAAGCCATTAAATTTATGTACTTTCGAAAATTGTAATTTAGTCGCTTTTTTGGTCTCATTGTTCACTTATTTATCATGGAATTACTTCGCTTGAGCTCTTTTAATAATATCTGCAAGATACTTTGCTATTTGGTGAAATAAAAGCTATATTTTTAGCAGTTTATCTTTTGAAAACTGCATGCGCAACAAAGTGTCACCAATGTGTTTACTCTCGTCTGACAAACAACCAAAGATGAAATACTTTATTTCACTCTTTTATAGCGATCTAAAATGCCTAAATATTAGATTATTCATTTTATTTGAGCATACATATTATATTTTTATACAATTGGTCCTTGAAAAGGACTTATTTCAAGCTAGAGTCAGATTTCAAACTAGAGACGGATTTCAAAAGAAACCGCCTGTCTGACATTTTACAGCAACCTACATTGGCGCGCACGACGTTTTAGCCACAAATCCGTTGTTTTCTCAACAGAAACAAAAGGAATTTCAGTTAAAATTCTTACCTGATGAATATTCAAAAGTGTTTATCTCTTTTTGACGACTTTCAGTGCTCTTAATAGCGAAATAAAAAGCCTTTTGTTTTGTCACCGCACGCTGCGTTTGAAAATGCCGGCTGTCAAAGTCAGAATTGAAAACACCTCAAATATTTTAAAATTTTCTCACCTTTTTCATCCTTTGTTTATATTTTAATTAGTATTTTTTGTACTTCGTGTTTTTCCAAACATATTTGAGCTATTTAAAAACTTCAAAGAGGTACAAACACTGTATTTTTGGGTTACAGAGTTTTTGGACTTGAACAACAAGTTCTGAAGTTCAAGTTCTCCATTGTAGTCCATTCAAGTTCTCCATAGATGTCCTGAGTGTGCCTGAGCTATGCCCAAGCAACTTTTTATAGCGTTTCATTATTTTGTAATTTATACCCTACAAGATGAAAACTAATTTGAAAATAAATGTGTACCAATCCAGGAATCAAAAAATATTTCTCCATTTATGTTGGGTTATTGAATTATTGCCCTTCAGATGTTGGGTGTCATGAAGAAACAAAATGTCAGAGACTTAAATTTACACAAACCAAGAATTCTCACCCAAAAATCTAATGATATATTTAAGTGTGGGAGCTCATTTAAAATAGAATTGATTAATCATTTATCATTTTAACCCACTGCAAAATTTCAAGGTTTTTTATAACATTGATCTTGAGATATGGGTATTTTTGTAAAAGCAGTTGACAGAAGTTGACAGTAACTAAAATTCGCCATTTTCCTTGCAACTTGGGGAGTGCCAATGTTGCAACAGTCTGCAACTTAATGAGTTAATCTCATTGATAATATAACTTAATATGAATCTTCATCCATCTCTTCATCCATCTCTTCATCGCTTGTTTCGTTGTTGCTTTCGACTTCCAATTGCAGGTCAGCAACCCAAGACTCAACATTCTTTACTGAGATGTCTAGGTGTTCTTCCAGATTTTTAATTTCTTCGTTGGAAGCTTCAGATTCTTGTTCAGCATCTATACTTTCAAGGCACAAGATGTCATCCGTTTGTACAGACACAGAAGAAGATGATTTTGTTGAAAATATGCGAGTTGCTGTGGGTCGTTTGTATCGGCGGCTTGACTCGAAACGCACAGCAACCTTCCTGATGAGCTTGTCAGCCAATTCACTATTTGGAGTTGGACCATTTAATGAAATCATCATTAGAGCTTCTAACATGTCGTTTTTCATTTGGCTTCGAGATCTAGCTTTTATGCGCTTGATTGCGCTACCACCACGTTCTGGCCATGCATTTGAAACTGGTGCAACAAGGGCTGTCTTTGCCATTGCCACAAGGTGAATAAATTCGTCCTGGAACTGACCCAAAACCTGACAAAGTACCCATTCCGTTGCTGTATACTTCAACTTTAGTTTATTTGCGATAACCTGGTCTTTGAAATGAAGCCATTTCTTCCTAAGCTCTGTTAGCTCAAATTTGAAGGATCGCCATTCACAAAGAAGTTTCTCTTGGTCTTGTAAATCAGATTCAAAGAAATGGTTCTTCAGAACATCGATTTCTTTATCACCATAAAACTGAAATAACGGGGATTCTGGATCAGGAGGAAGCTGCTCAACATTGAAAATAGAGAATGCATCCAGAACATTAACAGAACTTGTGGGAAATCTGTTGTCAACATTGGTAATTATCGCAGATATGTAATTGTCAATGTTAGTACGAATCTGCCTTTCCTCTGTTAAAGACATGGTCAAATCACAGCTTTCGAGTTGATCAACCAGGTCTTTCTTCAGCTCAGATATAACACAGTCATTCTTGCCGATTTGGCTGATGTTGGATTTCAGCTTGCTTATTCCCGGAATGATCCTGGAGAAGTTAATAGCCCCGGTTTGGAATGTTTTGCTTAATGCCGAAAGATGTGGTAGAACGCTTTTGAACATGTACAACACACTCAGAAACTTGATGGAATCCAACTTCTTTAGTAGCCCGGTGGCATAGGCCCTGATGCGGGATCATCTTTCAAAACGCGGAGGGCGTGGACCAGGCCAACATATTCAGTGAATACAGAATCTACAGAAGCATGAAGACTGAGCCACCTTGTTCTAACTGCGCGTTTGACACGTTTCACGAATTTCTTCTTTCTTCTCGTGGACATCGCATCTAAGGAGTAACACTTCAGAGCAACTTTGATGTAGACCTTGAGTTTCTTTGAAGAATTCTTGAAAAATTTCCAGAGCTGCATCAAAGTAGTCTCAAAATCCTTTACGAAAGATAGCTCATCGCCGGTATCAGAACACGCAAGAGCTAACCGGTGGCAGATACAATGGACACTCAACATGGTCTTACAATCTTCTAGATTTTTCAATCTTGCGGCAACACCTTCTTTCTTTCCAGTCATGACAGACGCACCATCCGACGCAAATGCTTTCAAATCCTGAAGCCGAAGCTGGAGCTTTCCCACAAGACCGACAAGTGAATTGAAAATGGACTTGGAATTTGCAGAGGTATCTTCTGAATCCGCAAGTAGGTCAGACAAGCCAATGAAACAGGTTTCAGCATCTCCTTTTTCTACATCGTAGTACTTGGCAAAGGTAACAAGCTGCGCTGTGTTGGTGATGTCGGTAACTTCATCTGTAAGAAGACCAAATGCCTCTGATTTATTGATCTTTTCCACCACTTCTTCCCGAATAATTTCTCCTATCAGCAGCAGCATCTGCCTTAGCACTGGTTCGGAACGTGTTCGAAATTGCTTGATTTCGCCAACTCCTATTTTTTCCAGCATTGTGAACAATGATGTAATCTTGGTTTGAGCGATTTCCTCCTTGCTGAGCCAATAAAGGGAGCGGAATGCTTTCTCATATACGGTGTTTATCTGCTGCTCCTCTTTCCGCTTTTGCTGAACAAAATAGGATTTGCTTCTCAGATTCTCTGTAGAGATAGCGTCAGAATGCATTGTGCGCTTACCAGTGTTCTTAAGATGCAACCAGATGGTTTCCATTCGGCATCGGACATTTGAAACAGTGTTCCACACTTTCAATTCGTTGTTTGGCTGGCAAGTATTGTGCATTCTACAAAGGGCACAAAACATACCTTTACCCTCAATAAATGTAAGGGACCAGATGTTTGTTGAAGGACATCTTGAAATTTCAGGGTCGAAGAGCCATTTGTGCTGGAACTTGTTGTCTTTCTTCATATCTTTTTTGCTGCATTGGCTTATATCTTGGCAGTTTCTTGCTTTGCAGAGGTAGAAATTGTGAATGTTTTCTTTCGGTGTATCTGGGAAAATGTTCAAAAAGCTATCTTCAATGAGTTTGCACAGTTGCTTGTTTTTTTCTTCTTCATTATGGCTATAGAACTGGAAGTCTTTTGCTTGCACCTGTGAACTTTCTGTCACAATCATTTTGGTTTTTTTTTATTTCAAGGAGATATCTTCTGTGCTGAGTTCATCAAACTACAGCATATGCAAACGTATAGTTAATATGATGGGGGACGTCGTGACATATGTAAGAATGCATTGTATGAAATAACCAACTGGTATTTTTTACCTATTTACACAAACAACACATTCATCCTCGTTTTTCTCCTGAGTTTTCTTTCCATCAAGTGTTTCATTTTCTAGGTTGGAAGTGACATAATTAGATTCTGGCAATTTTTTTCTTTATTTATATTTCAAGGGCCGAAACAGATGATATTAAATGGCCTTAAAGTTCTTTACCTTTGTGTTTGTCATGACTTTTGAACTGACATGCTGGTGCAGTGGACTTCGTTGATGAATTTCGACTGTCGTTTGCTTTATTTTCGGCACTACTATTGAAAAACAGGGAATATAGGTTGAATAACAGAACTTTACAATTTAATACAGCTGCATGAAAATAAATATTGAATGTCTATAAACACATAATTAGCTTCTCTGTCTGATGTTGTATTCAGTCAAAATCATGGCAAACAATTTATAAATCTTGCTAACATTTAACCATAAATTGCACGTACCTGGGTGACTGCACAAAAAAATGACTTATTCATTGTTGTTTCGAGTGTCTCCTCTCAGTCCTCTGAGTATTTTCCTTGCAAGTCTTCGGTTCGTCGGCTGCGCACTTTTTACATTCGCTCACCTTTTTAGGATGTTCTTCTGAATAGTTTAGAGCAGTAGATGCTACTGGGTTACTACATGAGTTACAAATAGCTGCTGAGCATTTTACACAGTTATAAAACGTTTCTTCTAAACAGTTCACACACTTTTCTGAAGCCATACTGAACTGCTAATGCTTTTACCTCGACCTGTGGACCAGAATTTATATAGGCAACTTAACCAAGTTGAAGTATGCAGTCATATTGCTATTATAGTATTATGACCGCATAGTTTAATTTATCTTATATTTAGTTATCATCTTGCTAAGTCATCTCTGACACACCTACAGCTTCTGAGCTTTGCGCAGTCATAATCTGCAATTACGCATTCCCTAATCCTGTTATCGCGATAAATCTTACCTATTCTATTCTAGCTTGTTGTAGTGCTATTCTGCTTCTTGTGGGCGGTGGTTTTAATGCAAAATACGCATTCCAACCGTATCTTGTCTAATTTCTGAGACTGATGCGTATAAACTTCGCGACGGCTACAATAAACTAAAAGCAATGGTAGGGTAGTTCATTAGATTGAAATTTAATCCGCCCATATTGATATATTAAATCTACATAAAGTTGTTTGACCTACGATTGACCTTTTAGGTGCATAGCCGTACTTTGCTACAATGCTATTATTGCTATATTGATTTAATTCATTGACATGCGTTTTATCAATCTTTGATTTAATACGCACTGTTATTGTCAAGTTCTATATCTTTTTTTGCTATTAATATTCCAGTTTCGCACAAAATGAGTATCAAAACGCGTGTTGGGGAATTTCAAATTATTCAAGGGTTATTTGTTTTTTCGGCTATGGCGAAATGCAATGAAGACCCGGCGAATTGTCCACAAAATCCGCTCAAGCACCGGCGAAATTCGCCGTTCGCCGGCCTAAATCTGAAACGCTGTTGATCTGGAAGTTCCGAGATCAACTGATTCCATTTCACTTAAAGTTATCTGGGTAACACGTCGTCCCAACCAATACCTGCTATCCATAACTCCTGCATCAGGACTTTCGGTCGTACTGTGAACGGTGTGAGGAATTGAAGAGGGTCGAATAAGATGGCGATAGCACTCAACACACTTCCCTTGGTCTCAGGTACGTCGACTTTAAAAGTGAATGTATCTTCTTCTGCTTTCCATAGTACTCCCAACGTTTTATGAGCAGGACGACCCTCATCTTGGATTTGGAGACTTGCCAATTTATCTTCAAACGGTACATCTTTCAATACAGATGGCTCGTTAGACAACCATTTTCTAAGATTAAAACCAGCTTTGCGTAAGACAACCGACAGTTCACTTTGCAGAACTTGGGCTTCTTGGGTGGTATCACACGAATCGAAGACGTTGTCCACATACATCGAGTTGTCGACTGTCTTGGCAGCCTTTGGATACTCTGGCATGAGCTTGGACGTGCGTATGCAGTACGTGTTAGGCACAAAATGGCGATGAAGTATTCCCGAACAGAAGGCGTTGAAACTCATACACATCTGGTTCTCTTGCAGTCTCGAAACTCCGCCACAGCAACCGGTTAAAAGGACGATCTTCCTCTCGCAATCGAACTTGCAGAAACATCTCTGATATGTCAGTTGAGAGAGCCATCGGAGCACGACGGAACTGTATTAACACGTCGAACGACTCGCGTTGTAATTTCGGGCCAGGTAAAATAGAATCGTTGAGACTCCTTCCCTTATGTTGAGCGGTGGCGTCGAACACAACACAGACCTTGGTAGTAGATTTATCTTCTCTTACAACCAGGAAGTGTGGCAGAAACCACTGATTTTTATCTGTCTTAGGCACTATTCTTACATAATCTTTTGCTATATAGTCGTCGATGATTCGCTGGTAAGCTGTCTTCACCCCAGGGCCTTTCTTCGATAGAGACTTTTCCAGGCTCTCAAGCCTGGATAATGCCATGTCGTAATTTTCACTGAACCTCGGTTCAAATTTTCGCCAAGGAATTCCAATTTCATAATTCCTGTCCTTCAATTTTTGTGTTTCTTGAAGCTGATCAACTGCGGCTTGCTTGTCAGGTGTCAATGTTGGTTGACCCGAGTCATCCTCGATGCCCAATGATTCAAGATTTCAGAATCTTCGTAGTGCATCATTGGTTGCTTGCTCAGTTGAGGCGTCTGCTGCCTGGTATGTTCTGTTAGTATGCGTTCAAGTGTCACTACGGAATCTGGAGGACAGTGCTGGGCCGAAACAGACCCAACCCAAGTTGGTCAGTTGTGCGATAGGATCATCATCTTTAGGACCGTGCACTTCTCGCAGCACGCAATGGACGATAGGATGATCTCTCCCAATGAGGACATCAATCTGACTCCGTCTCGATACACTATCGAAAGGTATTGACTCAAGGTATGGCCACTTTCCCTTCAGCTCTGACCACTGAAATGCAGGAGTCTCTCCTGTGATATTTTTAAGCATGTTTGCATGCAACTTAGTTAAAATTCTTCACTAAGACTGGTCACGGACAGTTCAACTCGGCGAGATTGTTTCTTGACTTGAGATCCACCCGTCCCGGAAATTGTCAAACTTTGAACTTGGCCACGTAAATCAAGTTCATGCAAAGCACTCTGTCACATAAGTTTCAGTAGAGCAAGGATCCAACATCATGTTTACTTTCAATTTCTTCTATTCGTGATGAGAGCTGGTAAGACCATCAACGATACATTGTCGACTTTGTTGGTTGCGTGGGTTGCCTCTCAGGCGTCATCTTGAGGTTTGGTAATGGGGGGTGAGGAATCCTCAGGGTTCTTGCTCCGAGTTTGGTGGGTTGACGAGTCATCAGGTCGTAGCTGGTTATTCTTGTGAAGATATCTACTATGACAGTCGCTTGTACAGCCATCAATTCCACATTTTCTTGCGTTGTTGCAATCTCTACTTTGATGCCCCATTGCCAGGCATCGGAAACACCGTCCACTTTTCGAGATAAGTCCACTTTTCGAGATTTTCGACAACAGTCATTTTCTTAACTAATGGGCAGACCCATGGCAGATGGTCTTCCTTACAGGTCGTTACCACACATCCTCTTGGTCTTCGCTTGTTGTTAGTACCAAATCCATGATCTCATCTTTTCTTCTCAACCTTGTCATCACTCTTGTTGTCTCGCCTCTCGTCTTTGGTCTCGTCCATTATTTGCACCTTCATCTCCAGCCAACTCACAAGATTCTCGAAGGTGTCTCGTTCACTTCGTTCAAACAACCAGTATTTATATGCTTCAACATCCTTTGCTGACAATTTCTCTTTCGCTGTCAAATTAAGATTCTGTCCATTCGTCTCTGCTCCATGTCCACTATCTCGTAATGACACTAATACTCTGTCCAATAGTGCCAAGAATTCTTCCATATCCTCTAAGTTGTTTGGTCTCAATTTTGACCACCCACAAAGTGTCATCAGATTTGATATCTGAAATCTTATTTCCCTGCCGTACTTTCTCTAGTTTCTCTTTCGCCCTCTCGTATGCATTGACAGTGAAACCCAAGTCCTTAACCATCCTTAATGCTTTTCCCGTCAAACTATTCTGGAGGCGGAGCATTTTCTCTTTCGTAGATATAGCAGCCTCGTCCACAACTGACATGAATGCGGCTTTCCATGGTGCATAGTCCGCTTTGACTTCTCCTGAAAATTTAGACAGTTATACCCCTTTTAATTTTATGGGTGCAAGTCGTCGTTGAGGATGTTCGGTTTCAGCTGGGCATTGTTTGGCAGGAAGGTCAGGCATTTCAAACACAAACTTTTTCACAGACACCGCTTTAGCCTCAATCGTTGCATCGTTTTCAGCTGCAGTTGCTCTTGTTTCATTGATGACCACCACTTGTCGTGCTTCTTCGGTTCTTTGCTTGGTTAGTTGCAGTGCAGCGACTCGCCTTTGCAGTTCTTCCTCTTCTTGTTGCTGTTCTTTTTCTAAAGCTAAAAGTCTCTCCTTTGACTCTTCAGCTTCTTTACGTCTCTTCAATGCCAATGAGGATTGAATAGATAGTACTGAACTTTGACCATCATTAAAATTGTCCTTTGATAAAAATGAGGTTGTATCCGATTTTTCTTCACCCATCGCTAGTCGTTGTTGTATATGCTCTTTAGCACGTTTTACAGCAGTGTCAACAATATCTGTTAGTTCTTCTAATTCTTTGTCAAGGGCTTCAATAATCTCGTCAATATCCGTATGTTCATCACCGTCTTCAAGTGCAATAATTTCTTTAAGGTTATAAATTAGCTTGATAATAATATTGAACTCGCTTTTCTTATTTCAGTTTTAGTTGCTAAGCTGCCTAGTCCAAGATCTTTCTTGTCTACAAGGTCTGCGAGTTCATTTCTAGCTTTAGTGAGTCTAGTTTTTGCTGATTTTTTGCGACTACCCAACATTCTAACCTTTTTACTTGCCGTACTTCCAGTTTCTTCGAGACCTTCGGTCGTAGTTTCATCTTTACGAGGCTCCTGTTCAACAGGGAGGTCTGGTCCGATTTTGAACATTAATATCTCCGTGAATTTTTAAGTAAACTACAACTGTAATATATCAAAATCTAAGTTAGTCCTTCCTCTATTTAATGCAAGTTATTTCTGTTTGATAGCTTTACTTGTTTAGAAGTTATTATAAATCAAACCAGAGTACTTTTTTTGGGACACCCGGTAGTTAACGCTTGGGTTGCCTGCAGCCCCCCTTACCCTTTCATCAAAATTCATAAAACATGTTCTTATAACTAAAAAGCGATTGCTTTCAGGAAAGTAATGCTTTGCAACCATTTTTTAGATACTTTGACCTAGCTAAAGCATTTTTATATTAACAGTTCAGGTGTATAGAAATTAAAGTTTTATTCATTTACAAGTTTTGAATTATGATGTATTGAAAATATATCCTGTTGGTGATTTTGTAGAGTTCTGGCTTATGAAACAACTATGAATGAATTTTGAAAATTTATTGTGTAGTATTCAATTCAATTTTTTTACCACTTCATTCAGTTAATTAATTTACATTGATTATTGTAATAAAATTTAGATCTATATTTATGTATGTTAAATTGAAAGAAAATGGAGTGGCAAGAAGACCTCAGGAAGTCAAAGACTTGTATTAAGAGGCCAACAAAGTTTTTATCAAAAATTTTATAGCAAATTTTTTTTTGTTTATAAATGAAGCTTCTATTGACTTGTACATGCACTAATGGTTTTCAATCAGATATTTTTTCAATTTTCATTTGAAAGAAGTGATAGTCAATTTTCAATTTTCATTTCAAAGAAGTGATTGTTATGAAGGAAGACAATTCCATATTTTCGGACTCTGATGTAGGATAGTGATTGTTTTATGTTAGTTTGACATGCATGTAACCTATATTTGGCCGTAGCTCTAGTATTATGATTGTGAACTTGATTGTTCGAAATAAATAAGTTATCAAAACATTCAGGTAGTAAATCATAGCTATAAATATACATAAATATACCTATACAATTGAGTATTTAGTTTGAAGGTATCTAATATATTTAATTTTTTGAAAAGCGGAGAAGAATGCACACAGTAATCTGAGTTAGTCATTGCTCTAACAGCTCGCTTTTGCAAAAGATAGATTCTCTTCACATTAGTTTCATATGTTGAAGACCAGTCTATATTACAACATGTTAGATAAGGGTATATTAAACTATAATATAACAAAAGTTTTGTAACAGATGACAAGAGAAATCGCAAGCGATAGATTGTTCCAACAGATTTTGATATTTTCTTACTAATATAGTTTATGTGGATTTTCCATGACACATTTTCATCTAAATATACACCTAAGAATTTTGTGTGCCGTTTTTGAGCAAGAATTTGGTTATCATATTTGAATTTAGTTTTCTTTGACTAGGATGAAAAATTAAATAATTTGATTTGCTTATATTTACAGATAATTTGTTTTATTTCATCCAGATATCAAGGTTTTGAAGCTCACTGTTTAGGGTTACCTCAAGTTGATTGATATCAGAATGTGAAAAATATATACTAGTATCATCTGCAAACAAATACGAAGTAGCTTGCGTTAAGACTTTTTGGAGATCGTTTACATACAAAATAAAAAGAAGTAGACCCAAAATTGATCCCTGGCAACTCTGCATGTTATGTACCAAAAGGGAGAAAAGTACAAAAAAGTACCAAAAGGAAGAAAAGGATTAACTTTGAATGATTTCCTCCATGGTGAAGTTGTGAATGTTTTCTGGCATGACCCAATAATGATTGATAATTAAAAGTTATTATGCACATATCACAAACTAATTGTACATGTTTTCTAATTAATTATTTCAAACGATAGCCTATAGTTTTACATTTCATTTTACTAAATTCCTCAGCCATTTCCTGAAGAAATTAATGCTAAACAGAAACTATTTTTAACTCTAAGTCTGGTGAAAGAGTCATTCCATTATTGTGTTTATATTCCAAGCAGAAATTGAGAAAAACAACTTTGTAATAAAGCAATAAAGTCGCAGAAGAAGCAATTTTGAAAGCGTGTGCATACAGGAAACACTGCAAAACTCTTAGTGAACAAGCTGAAAACAGTTTTATTTCTGAAATTTAATTGAACTGATAATCAAATGTTTTGTTTTATTCATTAAAAATTGATACTAAAACAATTATTCGCCTCAGGGTCAGTGATTACGGTGAATATTCACCGGTAATCACTTCGCCTTTGGCGAATAATTGTTAAGTATTAGTGTTAGGGTTGACATTTAAAGGTTAGGTATAAGATTGTTGGTGTTAAAGTTAAGGTTGTACATTATTAAAGTTTGGGTCAAAATATTATATGTTCAAGAAAAAATAGGTCCTTCATGCACGTGCAATAGGACAGGTGTAGTGTTGTTAAATAAAAAGTTAGAAATGGTATTGTACTTACCCATGTATTATAATTATGTTTAGAAGATCAGAATATTCATAACTTCTTATTTTGTTTCATAAATAGTTCTTTAATATTCGAAACAAATTCCATATCTGCTTCGTCTGCCATCGCCATGTTTACTCGTCCCAATCTACATGCTGCACGGCATTGCCGCCCCTCCTGGCAAAATAATAAGCAAGCGAGAAAAACTAAGGAGAAAATAAGAGGGTAGGAACACTGTGGGCGTTTCGTGGGCGTTTCATCGCTCTGGGCGAATCAGCTTTCTCAATCTTGTATCACATGACTAATTCAAATCGTCATAGGCGGGAAGCAGCATTACACGTCATCCCTACGTCAAATAAAACGTTATAAAAAGCGTCGTGGATACGTTTGTGCCATATATGGAAGTTATGGATACGTTTGTGCCATATATGGAAGTGTCACTGCATCCAGCTTATGACAACGATGTTCCTACCCTCTTATTTTCTCCTTAATTTTTCTCGCTTGCTTATTATCTTGCCAGGAGGGGCAGCAATGCCGTGTAGTATGTAGATTGGGGCGAGTAAACATGGCGGCGGCAGACAAAGTAGATGTGGAATTTGTTTCGAATATTAAAGAACTATTTATGAAACAAAATAAGAATTTATGAATATTCTGATCTTCTAAACATAATTATAATACATGGGTAAGTACAATACCATTTCTAACTTTTTATTTAACAACACTACACCTGTCCTATTGCACGTGCTTCATGGTGAAAATGCATCCTGAATGGTAAAGTAAGTGAAAAAAACAGGATTTCTTCAGTTTGTGTTAGGGATTTTCACTATGAAGATTGTACTTTTTCTTAAACGCATACAAAACAAGAAATGTTCTACTATTCTAGAAGAAGATCCAGCATACATGTGTTTTCTCAGGAGGAAACGCCCCTTGAAAATGGCATATTTTCACTTTTCGGAATGCATTTTATGTCTTCACAAGTGAAAAACACCTGGGTCCTGAGAACTAATGTTGTTAATCATACAAATTGAACTCAGAATGAGCAGAATGGTTGTTTAAGGACACCTCTGTACCCTGTGCATGAAATTCAACTTCAAACAAAATAGCATTGCTTCTTTATGCTAGAATTTTTTGCCTTGGGTTGAGATGTGTCAATGTTTTAGCAACTAACATGCCAAAATGCTCTTCAAGTAAACAAGGGTTGCTTCAGTTCTGCACCCAAGTAGCTGACTGCTTTGTCCAACAGCATCATTTTCTTTACTTCGTTATCTTCCTTTAGCTTTTGTTTCTGTTTCTTTGGCAATGGTTTTGAGCTGTCTTCTGTCTGCATGGAGTCGAAACTTTTCGTTGGGCTGATATTTTCTTTGACTGATTCTAAAAATTTCAGGGATTGAAGCAACTTTCATTTTGAAACATAATCTTCATCTGTTCCTTGTGCAGACTTCCTTTTCCTTTCAGCTTCTTTTTCTCTCATAAACTGGCCTCTTATTATCTTCCATTTGTACTTGTAATTCTTCCCTGCCGATGCCAATCTCAGCATAAGCATTCTCTTTTCCGTCTCTGTTTAAGTATTTTACATTACCGACATCCCACAAACAGCTTCTTGCTTCATACAAACTAATCAACTTCTTGTTTAATATCTCCGTGATTTTTTAAGTAAACTACAACTGTAATATATCAAAATCTAAGTTAGTCCTTCCTCTATTTAATGCAAGTTATTTCTGTTTGATAGCTTTACTTGTTTAGAAGTTATTATAAATCAAACCGGAGTACTTTTTTTGGGACACCCGGTAGTTAACGCTTGGGTTGCCTGCGGCCCTCCCTTACCCTTTCATCAAAATTCATAAAACATGTTCTTATAACTAAAAAGCGATTGCTTTCAGGAAAGTAATGCTTTGCAACCATTTTTTAGATACTTTGACCTAGCTAAAGCATTTTTATATTAACAGTTCAGGTGTATAGAAATTAAAGTTTTATTCATTTACAAGTTTTGAATTATGATGTATTGAAAATGCCAATCTCAGCATAAGCATTCTCTTTTCCGTCTCTGTTTAAGTATTTTACATTACCGACATCCCACAAACAGCTTCTTGCTTCATACAAACTGATCAGCTTCTTGTTTCGGTATCGATTGGTTGATTTAATCATCACAATGTTTTCCCACCAATCAGATCAGTTTGTTACAGATTTTTGCACTGTGATTACAGAAAATTACACTGCTATTTGGGATTAACTGCACTGAAATCAACCAATCACAGTCAAGTAATATCTTTATGTATATTAGTACGGACTTTACATTACCTTTATGTGTATCTCAGTAATGGTGTATCTGATTTATTTCGAGTGTTGAACATGATCTAAAACCACCTAAAACGACCTAAAACCATCTAAAACAACCTAAAACCATCTAAAACGACCTACAACGACCAGTAAAACGATCTAAAACTATCTAAAACGACCAATAAAATGATGTAAAACGTTAAAACACACGTGGTAAAACTAACAAGAAAATTGTGAAATAGATTTAATTGTCACCTATGCCTATGGGGCTCTTTATTACCTCTTAGTTGTGTTGCATTTAAGGTGGCTCCATACAGTTTCTTGAAAAGTAGAAAACACACATTTCTGATCCAAAATCTTAACTGAGTGTTGATTGATATTTTGTAAGAGGAATGAAACTAAATGGAACAGCATTTTGATTTTTGAGAGTAGGAAACTGCAACAAAAAATGCGTAACCATGGTTGCTATGGCAACAATGACGTTTCAAAATGCCTGCTAATTTGCATTAAAATTAATTTAATTGAAAAATTTTGGATCTACAGATTTTTTTTAAAAATTGGCCTGATGATTGCTCATAGCCTCATACTGGAAAAAACTTTTAATAAAATAAAAATTGGGGGTCGCCGATGTTGTTTTCGAATTAAACTAGTTTAAATGCAAATTAGCAGCCATATTTTGAAATGCCATTGTTGCCATAGTGACCACAATTGCGGACTTTTCCGTTTATACAGTTTCTGATTCTCAAAATACTGTTGTATACATGATATCTGGTTTCATTCTTCTCTAAAAATATCAATGTACAAAATATCAATGTGTTTCGTCTGAAATGTGTCTTTTCCACTTTTCAAGAAAACAGTATGGAGTCACCTTAAATTGATTTAATTCTAAGTTGGCACCAAGGTTAATATTAGCCTTCGTACCAATATATATTTCTATGACTATGAGTATACGACTTTAACATTATAACATTTTTGCTATTAGGTGGTTTTACGAGCTGTTAATATGCAGATTGTTTTAGGTAGCTTCATAATATTGTTTTATCAATCGTTGTAGATAGTTTCGGTCATTTTAGATTGTTTTATTGGCCGTTTTAGATCGTTCTATTGGCCATGTTAGATTGTTTTAGATCATTTTACTGGTTGTTGTAGATCGTTTTAGATGGTTTTAGGTCGTTTTAGATCATTTTACTGGTCGTTGTAGATCGTTTTAGATGGTTTTAGGTCGTTTTAGGTGATTCCCTGTTTTAGTAACTATGCACTGTAAAACCAAAACTAACGAAAGAATACAATATAAACGTTTATCGGTTTATGACAAATTATGTTTACAATATTTAAGTGTATTTCCGGTCTGTGCTGATTGGTTATTAATTGACCTGTGACATCCTAATTGAAGGGTGGCATGCAATCATCATAGGGATCCTTGCAGGCTCTCTTTCACCCAGAAAGAGGCCACTGGCTAGACAATCCCCAGACTGCTGTACATATGTCAGCAAAAGACAAATTAAGAGTATCCTTTTATTATATGTAAGTTACCTGGTCTTGTCGGTGTACATTCCACTTTTATCTCGTTCTGTGCAACAAATTGCATCACTCATTTAAATTGGTAAAATATTTCTTTCATTCTCAATAGGTTCTTGATCTTATGACTGCTTCAATTGAGAGCTGTTTCAACCCAAATAATGTGCAAGTCTTGCAGGGTCTAGGATTTTTGTATCCTTGTCGATTGGGAGATCCAGAAGCATGGAGAAAAATCTCTGCGGCAGTTGAATGGTTCCAAAAAGACCTGGATATAGATGTTCTTCAAACCGAAATATTTTCCTTTCATCACTGCTCACTGGCATGCTGAAAAAGCAGAGTCTGTTAAACAAAAAGCCACCTTTGTTGACCTGTTCACAGTATTGAATGAGGAACCAGAGTGTTATGGTACTATTATAAGTAATACCATGGTTTTTAAGAATATAGTGATTAAATCTCCCGCAAACCGAGGGAGGTTTGTGAAAGTCCCGACGGAAAGCCTGAGGGCGAAGCCCGAAGGCGTCCCGAGGGAGATTTAATCACTATATTCTTAAAAACCATGGTATTAGTTTGTAATACCATGATGACCGAGGTGAGGCTAGTGTTTTCATTGTTCAAAATTAATTGATAGTACGAGTATTGTGTAATACAATGCATGATCAGTGATGTATACAACAATGTTCCATTGTCGGAAATTCGTTGGGAATAAACAATTCTTAATATACGTGTGTCAGTGCCGGGTGCATGTGCATGCATGCATATAAAATGAGTTACTTTTTAACTCAACTCAAGTCTTGTTTTTGGATGCTCACTAAGAATGATATGGCGGATAAACGTTTCTCGTTTGTTATGGAAGCCGATGTTCAGAAAGTTAGAGATAACAGAACGCCTGAGGATACTATCAAACACACTAGGTGGAGCACGAATGTTTATAAAGCATGGGCAAAGGCAAGAAATACCGAGTTGCGTGACTTTGAAGCCGAGAGTGAAGTATTAAAGCGTGTGCTAGATTTGCAGGAGATGAGTGTTGACAAAATTAATCACTGGTTTAGCCGATTAACACTAGAAGTACGGAAGAGAAACGGTAAAGAATACCGCCATGAAGTCATGTATAGCCTGTTTTGTGGTTTAAACCGAACAGTTCAGTTGCAATATCCAAAGTTAAACCTGTTTAATTCGGCTGAGTTTAAGCCGCTTCAGCAAACGCTCTACAGAGAACTACAGAGCACCCAAAGCCCAATGAAGAAGAGAGCAGATGCAGTGACGGTTAGCGATGAAAGGGTATAGATTTGAGCGGACTACTACAAGGAGCTAATTGTGGAACTGTGAACATCAACATTAATGAGTAAATAAATTACTGTCTTTATACTATAGTTGTGTGAAATGTTTAGTGAAAAGTGAATATTAATAAGTCGAGTAATTAACACTTTATCTTACTGTCATTAACATTGTAGTGTAATTATTTTGTTTGTTGTGTAAAAGCTATTAAGAAAATTCTTTGTCGTGTCTTTGAATTTTGGTTCATGACTTTTAATCAGGGAGAAATTAGAAATCTGCCCGGCTTTGCCGGGAGAATTAGATATCTCCCCGCTAAGCCGGGAATATCGTGATTAAACCACCCGGAGAGAACAAAAGAACCCGAGGTCATCATGGTATTATCATAAAAAAATGATGGAAATTGCTGCCCCTCACATCTTGTAGTGCAGAAAGGGCATTTTCAAAGCTCAAGCTTTATCAAATCTCGGTTGAGATCAACAATGAACTAAGAAAGGCTACAAAGTCTAATGCTTATGTCAGTAGAATCTGACATAATCAAAGAGCCAGACATAGAAAAGCTGGTTCAACATTTTGTGGACATATCTCCGAAAAGAATGAATTTAGTATGACAATACCACATGTTCTTGAAGTCTTCAAGACCTTAACTCCTTCTTACAAACAATACACATGCATATAAATAAGATCAGTTTTGGGGTACTTGTATATATTTTATGTTATTGAAAAAATTATTACTATTCGAGATGCTGAAATTACTTCAGTAATGCTGGTTTTTGTGGTTGTTGCTTCCTTTGAAAGTTGTCTTAATTAAAGTATTCCTTATTAAGAAATCTTTAAATTCAAAATTTTCCTGTTTTTTTTTTTCACTTCTCCAAACATTTTTAGGAGTAGCTATGTTTGAGAAATCATTAAAAATCAGGTCTTTCCTAATAATCTTCAGAATTATGCAAAATCTCACCCCAGAAACACAGGAAATTACTGTTGAGGGACTCTAGATTTCAAAATTTTCACGGGGGGAAACACCCTCAAACCCCCCTAGACGGCATTCAATATATGCCTCCCACAACTTCAAGTCTGGCTACGCCACTGACCACTAAAAGGGTTAACCCTTTAAGTGGCAATGCACCCTACATACCCTTTGTATTGCACACTGGAGATCTCGAATGTGCAATTTGGACCAAATGTTGCCGGCGAGCACACAATTTGGAGAAATTGTCTGTGTGCAATGTAAAGCGATTTGTGGTGCACACATGGTCCTATGGAAACATATGCACATGCATGCGTGCAATGATCAGAAAAAATTAGCAGGCATGCAGTTTTGTCAATCAAAATCGGCATTAATCACACTGACATGATTAATTAAACAAATTCCTGCATGTATATCACTTTGGGCGCAGTGTAAAACAATGCCGTTAGTAAAGTGCCTAAGCCAGATGCGATAACTGATAACCAGGTAAATCCTAACAATCTACACTTCTGCCAATGAGCATCAACAATTGGAAACTTGATTGCAATTAGCTAGTCACGCTGTCCCGTTTTGTCTGTGTAACACTTGCATGTGCAACTAAATTTTGTTTGTTGTAATTTACCCTTCCAGCATTCTGTGGTGAATATTGATTGTTTTTTGTGCAATCTAGTGTTTTAAGATTTTCAACTTGTTGGCCTTATTTACATTTTTACAGTTTCAGCATCGTTTGAGAATTGAGGTAAGTTGCATTGTATCAATATACTTAGATAATAACCTCTTTGTTGTTTTAAGTTAATCAACATTGCTTCAGGGTTCAACTTTGCAGCTCGCACCTTTGTCAGCTTTGCTACTCGGTATTGAGTCACTGAAACACTCAGTGAACAGTGAATAAATTTAAAGCAGAAAACTTAAGATAGTGATTACAAAGTACAACTTACAATTAAGTATCAAAGCATATATATTAATATAAACTTAAACACTTCAAATGAAAGTTTGAGCCGCATTGAGTTTTTCTGTCATGCAACACAATGTAATTGATTTATACGACTGTAGGCGTGAATGCATGTGTGTCATCATGCATAGAGATATGCTATGGCATCTCCAGGCTCCTAATTGCACTCTCTCTGGTTAGCCTAATATTTGTTTTGATTGCCTAATTTTTTCAATTTTTTTGTTGTGCAATAAAGCATGTGAACTGCTTATTTTTTATTAAAAACTGTACATTTTTAGATATTCTGTGGAGGAGAGTGTATAACAAACTTGAGACGATCAAACCATTTGACACAATCTGCAGTTGTATGGTTTGCACAATAAATTCACTATCTATGAAGTTTATTTAAACATATATATTCCTAACGTTTGTCCAAGAGCACTAGACTCCTCTAGGAGCTTACGTTACATTTACAATCAATAAATAATATAATTATGGTTTATTGAAACTCTTTTGCAGTTACAGAGACTGAATTACAGAGTTTGTATATTTACAATATTATAGTATAACTATATTATATAATGCAATAAAAACCTGTACAATACCTGCCTTGCGCTTTACAAGACAATGGTGTGAAAGTCAGATGGCATATTGCACACAAATTTGGTCACCACAGTCGGTATCACTTATCCTTCAAGTAGAAAACGTCCAACGTCGCGCCACCAGATACATTTTATCACTGCCATTCTTGTCAGGAGTACCATACAAAGATATACTTGTCAAAAGTGGTTTACTACCATTAACATACTAGCATGAATTCCTGGATATGGTCTACCTTTACAAAGCGTTAGTTCTATCTAATGACCATAATATCCATGTAAAGACAACAGATCGGTTGACGAGAGAAAATGATGGAACAGCAAAAATTATATTACAAGTTCCTAGAGTAAAACACTAACATTTCAGAACAGTTATTACTGCAGATCACCCAGGACTTTTAACTGTTTACCATCACACTTACGGCAGTCAAATGGTCAATGAAAATGTCATTTATAATGTTTGCAGGGGATTTGATGTCCATATACTCTTTGAGGCATTGATGCCACTGCTGTTTCACATCCTGACCAGAAAGTTGTTTTATTTCTCTCCACCATTTGTTGGAACTTGTGTTTTCCATCTTAGAGACTCGATTGTTATAATAGCGATGTTTGGCCATTCTTATTTCACATTGTACTTTATTTCTCCAAAACTTAAAACTTAGCGAATCTTTCCTGTGTCGAATATAAACATAATTTGTCGTTTATAGATACACTTTTTAATTTTCTTTGCCATCCATGGTCGGTCAGTGGGATGTTTCTTAATAGTCTGGAGTGGGAGAAAAGTATCAATGGCAGAGTTAAGTTCACACATGAAAGTATCATGTTTATTTTCACAGGAGGGAGTGTTTAAAACAGAGCTCCAGTCCTTGTCTACAATCCACCTTCCAACTGTATGCCAAGCACAGTCTCGAGTGTCACATACCTTTACAGTCGAACCTCCCGTAAGCGGACACCCTCGGGACCACGACCTGGTGTCCGCTTACGGGAGGTGTCTGCTTATGAGAGGTTGGCTAATATTTAACTGATTCCGTAATTGTTGAAACATGATTCTTTTAATAATGATGTTAATATGACTATAATATTGACAGTTATTATTGCAAATTTACTCTAAAAACCCTACCATTGGCAATTGTTAAATCATCACGGGGATCAACAGAAACCAGCGGCTTATCTCATGTCAATGCTGTTAATGAAACTGTTGATGTTGTGGGTCATATACCCAAAAATATGGCGCCGTACGTAAGCAAATTTTTGAAATGTGCATCTAACTCTGCAAGTGTTACAGTAAAGGGAAAACGAATAAATCGCAGGGCTGGTTACGGACTTGAGTTTCTGTGCGTTTATACGTTCTGGGGCGACCAATTTTCTTTGACTTGGTTGAGGAACAATATACGTAAGACTGGACATGCTTTGTTGGATGAGAAACTATAATGGTTCATAAAGAAAAAATTAACAGTAACTGCTAATGGTGCAACACTACAATAACAAAAATACGGAATATTGAATTAATAGTTTCTGTATCAATTCTGTCATCAGCTCATTCTGATAACACAATATATCAAACACATATGTTTCTATTCTAATACTGTATTAAGTCAACTAAGCGGCATAATTATTAATTTAACAGAAAATAAATCAAGTGTGTATTGTTTGGGAAGGTTGTTTTGGTGTTCGCGGCCGCTTATGGGAGGTGTCCGCCTAGGAGAGGTTGTAAATATAGTAATATAATAGCGTATTGGCCGGGACCCAAAAACAGTGTCCGCGTACAAGAGGTGTCCGCTTCTGGGAGGTATCCGTAAGTAGAGGTTCGACTGTATATTCTTAATTACGGGTTTGTCTAATATAGTATAATGGTCTGAGGTTCCAATATTATTTAATATAGTATAATGGTCTGAGGTTCCAATTTTGGGTAACCGAGTTAAGTCAAACATCTTGGGCTTATTCACAAACATCCAATCTAGGATTCCGGAATCCCTCATTTTAAATTTCACGAGTTGTTTCAAGTGATCTGGTAGAGCTATTTCTTCTGACTGGAGACCGGTGGAATCGGGATTGAAATCACCAGTTATTATTATAGGGGCATTGGGTTGTTCAGATAGGATAGCATCCAAATTTTTCTGGACGTGATGTTTTAGGATAATATGTTCATTCCTCTGGCTATTTGGTGGGTGGTATATAACGCTCAACATGATTGATGTAATCTGTCTCGGTAGTTTATACGGTCTCATTGATGGCCAAATGGATTCAACGTCATCTTCAACACAGGATTTAATAATTTGCATGGTATCTTCTCATCTAAATAGACACATACACCACCACCAGTGGTATGAGCACTGTCTTGGAGAAAAAGATTATAACCTGGGATAGATACATTGGAGTCTGGCACGTTTGCAGACAGCCAGGTCTCAGTTATGCAAATTATGCCAACAGAGTTAAGTTCTACAATTTGTTGAATCTCATCTATTTTAGTTGCTATTGCTCTCACATTTGCTGATAGAATAGCTGGTATATAGGAATTAGGCTTTTGATTAATATGTTTTATCACAGTCATAGTGTTAGGAGTAATCTTCCTCGAGAAATTATCTACATCAGAATTTGGGGTAATTACGGAGGTTGAGGAATAATTGATAGGGCTGTTAATCATCGCAATAGGAATACAATTGAAGGGATTATGCCTTTTAGGAGGCTCACTTGCTGCTAACTCTGTTATTGTGCTTGTGTTATGTCTATGGTTGTACTATTATTAATGGCAATGCATTCGTTGTCTTCATAGCTAAGGTTATTTAATAAAGTATTCCCCTCTGTGTTTGATATATTAAAATAATTATTCAAATTTTCCCTGTTTACCAAATGACTAAGATCAACAACAGACATATTTGATTCCACACAGGATTTTTGTGAGTTTAAAGTCACACCCTCATTTTGATTGCTTTTATCCACATTGTTTATCATTGTTTTTATCTGCATGTTAATGGATACTTTTTCATGTATAGTTTGAGCAGTCTGTTTATTGTTCTCTGCTATGAGATTTTGAATTTGTTTCTCAATCTCACCAATATGAACAGAATGAGAAACTACTTTCTCCTGTTCTTTATGCAGCAAAGCTATAACAATTGTAACTTCCAGATCCAATTCAGCAATAGCGATGTCATATTTCGCATTCAAACTTTGGCATGGTTCATCAGAGTGTGTATTCACAGAGTCATCGGCAGCATGATTCTTAAAAGCATTAAAAAGATAGTTTACCTCATTGTCCTTCATCACTTCAAGCCTCTTTCTTTTAGTGCCATGCCATTTGATACTTAGATTTGTAGCTGAGGCTGTGAACAGCTTGACTTCACCACCTGGTGAGGATAATTTTCCTTGCAATTTCAGATTTGTTTCAACAAACAATTGTTGAGATTTTAGTTAGTTAGTTTGTATTGTTTACAGTATTTACCTTTGGAACTCAGGAAAACTGTTTCTTTGAAAGTTTTTAGAAGCAAAATGTGGAATAGCATTTTTGAGCATCAGAAACTTTTAAATCATTTTATTGTGTCATTTATATCCATTAATATCTTTCGAAATCTTTTGAAATCTTTCGAAATATTGTGATAAAAATAGCAAAGATGCACAACAATTACTGATCTCTCATTATATATGTAATTGAGTAAATGACGTCACATTGTTGTTTTGTTTACTGTCATTCCAATTGAAGTGTTGCTCAAATATTGATTCAATACATTACCTTGGGCTGACCAATTCATTTGATCAAGTTCCTTGAGATATTCATGCACTTCCTGTGAAAGAGCCAATTCCAAGTATTTGATCATTTCTGGTCACTTCCTTTCTATTTGGTGCATTCAAACTATTCAACAGGAAGTTTACAATTATACTAGGAAGTGTATGAATATCTTGAGGAACTTGATGAAATGAATGGTCGTCACTTGTTTCCAACCACCAAAATGACATGATGTCATTTTCTTCCAACTGAATATCTTCGGTTTCGCATCGGTCTCACTTCGCCGTTCGGTTCTAGCAGACAGGCTTGCGGGTTGAACAATTATATATTTAATATATGCATGAATTAATATATTGTCTTAATTGATATTCGCGTGAAATTTAAACTTTTCCCGGGTCGCTTGCAATTGCAATCATGGCCGAAGCTGCAAATTCAGATTTAATACCGGTCGATAATTGTGATATAAATACGAAAACAAAATGGCTGAGTGGTTTTATAGGAAGCTGCAGTAGATATTTTGGATATGTCCACACAGTAGAGGAAGCAATGGCAGTTATGAAGCAATACAAGTTGGATACAACAACTCGATTATCATGCTTCAAATCAAGTAAGGACTTTGGATCCAGAGGTAAAGAAGAGTTTGCTTGGAAGAGTTTGCCGGTCGCCTGAAAAAAGTGGGTACATGAAGACGTAAGTTTCCGCAGTGTTTACGACAGCCAGTTACAGCTCTGTATGTATCCACTCTGTGAACTCTAGGTGAACATTTAGTTCAACATGTTTACATAGAGTTCACTGGCTCTGACTCCATGAGCAATCACTCTGATAATGGCAAGATCATAAGAGCAAGCATTCTCAGCAGTCAATGAGCTAGCCCCCTTGTCAAGGTACTCCCAGTGCCACCCTTAGCCCTTACTTAGTAAGATTATCAATATCATTTATTACATTTTTTTTCAATTTTAATATGTATTATTTGCAAAGAAACTGAAATGTACAAGATTACGTATTGCTACGTTTACACGGTACTGGACGAATTTGGAACTGGCCGAACTTCGTCCTTTTTTCGCTTGTTTACACGCGAATTCGACCTGTTATAGGGAGTCTCAAAGTCGTCTGGTTCCGTGATTCTCTTGTAAACTGAATGCCAAAATGGACGAATTTCAGCCAGGTTCCAAGTTCGTTCGGTACCGTCAATGTAGCCTATTGTCCCATGAAAAAGGGCTTTGTTAAATGATTGTCAAAATTATATAGATCCATTCAGCAAGCCAAGGAAGGTTTACTTCAAAGACACCAGCATTTCTTTTGACGGAACTCCTTTCTACATCATTGGTACAAAAGGGCTTTGACTGCAAACATGGTCCAGACCGGAAAAAAGTATTTAAGTCTAAACTTGAAAATGCCAAAAATAAGGTCAGTTATAGTCATGTTAAGTATTGTGGAGGTAAAATATCTAAAACATTTTGTCATATAAGTTTTACAAAGCTTACAACGACCGTCGTATGACCCTTTCCCCGGGCGATATTACTGGGGAACGGGATTTTTTTGTAATATCAAATGTGACAGACTTTTTTAATTTGCAGAATGAAGACCACGACTGTCCTAAGAGACGGTTTTTGCCACAAAACACTGTCAAGTTTGACTGTCCTGCACAAATTCGTCTTTCAGAAGTGATAAAATTCCCCGATTATAAGGTAAGTTTTTAAATTATATATAGGTATAGGAAAATTCAAATAATTTCAATATTATGACATTGTATGGTGAATTTTTTACAATTAATTGTAGATTAGTGATGATAGAAAACGCTCCAGAAGGGACATGTCAATGAAACTGAAGATTGACATAGCCAAAGGTGACAAACCTGCATATGAACGAAGGATTTACATTCAACTTCCAAAAGAAGACCAACATAAAGATCATGCTATTGGAGAGGTTTGTGTGCCACTGTACATCACACACATGCTCCCTTCGTAAATCGGATCCTAATTCAGTGCAACGTCTATGAAAAAAAGTTCAGTTCACTCAATAGGTTGAAACTCTCACAATGGACGATTAACCTTATAGCTCAATACGTTATTGTCCATGCCGAATTAGTATTCCAGTGCCAGAAGTTTCAACTCTTCTGAGTCTATCGATATCACGCATAAGCTATAGGATAACTTGAAGGAGCGTTATCTAACAAGTGAAAATACTTAAAAATTTTATAGGTTGGCAGTATTCTTCAGCCCATTGACAAATTGCTGACTAAGAAGATTGAACTTCTTGTTGGTGAAGGCGTGAAAACTGTAGATGAAATGAAAAGACACCTAAAGAGCTACGTAAAGAACGAGTTATTTGCATCGGAGAAACCACCACCACCAACAAACAGGGAGATATTACCCAACAGACATGGACATTAGAAATTGCATGTACCGAGCGTCTGTGAAGTTCATATTGTCCAAACTTGATCAGGAAAACCTTGAGAAGAATATTGACGTATGGCGTGAAAGATATCCGGAAGACTGTTTCTTTTTTAGACCCTGCACTGTATCTCCCAAGAATCCTGCGTTGGAAGAAGGTGATGGTGAAGTAGAGGCCGATATTACTCAAAATCTACTGTTTATTCATCAAAGTATGTGGCAGAAACATCTTTTAGCTCGATATGGTAACAAGATCACACTGCTTGATGCTACTTACAAAACAATGCGATACGAATTACCACTATTTTTTATCGTTGTGAAAACAAATGTAAATTATTTGGTTGTTGGAAGTTTTATAATCCAGAGAGAGACAACAGCGTCGATAGAAGAAGCTCTCGGAATCTTAAAATGCTGGAATCATTCATGGGAGCCCAAATACTTTATGACTGACTTCTGTCATGAGGAAATTAACGATATTGAAAATAGTTTCACAGGTAAGAATATTTCATTACAATACTCCACTGTTTATTGTTGTATAGCGTAGAAAATAATATTAGTGTAGAAAATGATTACCATGCAGTTGTTTAAAACGTCTTAATAAAAAAATCCATGCAAACTAAGTGGGCTGTAGTTCGCCATGTTGGTTGCATCGCTACTAGCAATTGACTCTTTGTTATTTCGCGACCGGGCATACACTACGAGTTCCCCGGATGATGTCATTATCTGATAGTTGTATTTTTTATCGATAACCCATTCACTTGGATGTTTTAGCCAAACTAAATCAACTCATTTGCTTATTTTGTCAGACACTACGACCTACATATGTGATTTTCACCGACTGACTTGTGACATCAGCGTTCAGACAGTGCGGACATGCATTCTTGAGCTCTGCATTTGTCTAAAAACAATCTGAATCTTTATGCCTCCTAAGAAGAATCCAGCCGTGGCACAAGCTGTGGCCGACGTCGAAGTTAATAGTTCATCTCTATTAATGCCTGATGTGTCGTCTTTTGAAGAAATCCTAAATAAATGATTGAACGAACACACGAAGGAATTAAATGCAATTATCGTGAAATCAAAGGAAGTGCTACATAATGACATAAAAGCTATTCAAGCTAGTCAACAGTTTATGAGCGACAAATTCGATCAGATATTAGCAGAAATGACCCAGATTAAAGCGGAAAATGTTCAATTAAAACGAGAAGTCAATGAGCTTAATGCGAAAGTGTCTAAACTTGAAGAAGAACAAGAAAACATCAACTCATATAGTCGACGGGACTGCCTTGAATTTCACGAGATACCACAAAATTCAACAGAAAACACGGATGAATTAGTCAAGCGTGTCGCCAACTTAATCGGAGTCGAAATTAATCCGTACGATATATCTATCTCCCATCGTCTGCCATCTAGAAGAGGATCAACTCCACCCATTATTGCAAAATTTACCAAGAGACGTACTAAAGAAATTATTTATCAAAGCAAGAGAAAGTTGAAATCTAGAAACTCGTCTGATATCGGTTGTGTCAATACGGAAAACAAGTTATTCAAATCGCGTTTGCAGACGAGTTTTATTACGGTTTTTAGTACTTCAAAGTGTCCTTTTTCCAATTATACTAGTCACTGTGTGTAATTAGGTCCCACTTTTAAGAAATTCAGCGTAGAAAATAGTAGGATTTGAAAGCTGTATTTTGACATGGCGTTCTTTGTTGCTAAATATTGTCACAAATGCTCCGCAATTGAAAACCTAAGTTAGTTTAGATGAAATTACGATAGTTTTCCGGTGGTGGGTGTGAATATCAGAAATTTTGAACAAAAACTTTTGAAATTATGTTTATTTAAATTCAGCCCATTTTTTCGTTTAATTAGCCGGCGAATTTCTCCCGCAACGGTGCGAGACCAAAAAATCGCTAAAACTTTGAAACTAAATATATTTTCAAAATTCCACATAGCATTTGTTTGTTGTTAAAGTAAATGTAGTTCACGGTAAAAGTTTCGAAGAAATTTATTTTTCGAGCCCCAAGTCAGTGGGCGGTTTTTAGAGACACACGCTCTTAAATCAGCTTATGAAGCAATCCTATAATGGGGGGTGAAAGGTTTTCAGATCGTCGGATTTCACAGAAAAAATTGTTCGGATTTCGGATCTGGCAAATATTTACATGGATTTACGGGTCTTATTAAAACAGTGGATTGCGGATTTATCTCATATTTTGGCTCGGATTGTGGATTTAGCTTGCAATTTAGTTTGGATGCTGGATTGTGACTTCATAGTAGAGCTTTTAGCAGATTCAAATTTAGACAAGACCATTGTCGGATCGTGGATTTTGCTTCAAATATGGGTGGATCAGTGGATTTGTATACCCCTATTCAACCCCCCTATAATCCTAACATGTTCTGTGACTAATGCACCATATAACAAAATTTTAACGTAACATAATAATTGTGAATGCTGTGACTACATATATAAAATGTACCATATATGAAAAAATACATGAGTAGTCAGTATATATTATTTATGAATAGACAATCGATATTATTATTAAGAGAAGCATGCACGGTTACTCACCTAAAAGCTTTACGATGTTACTTTGGGCAATCTTCTAAGATATAACAAAAAGTTTTTGTCAGAGAATTTTGACTTATGTACATAGCCAGAGCAAAATATAGAATACTCGTCATTCTGTAGAAAGCCGCCATCTTTGTTTTACGGCCTGTTACTAATTAGTTGACCTGAGTGTTTAATGCATGCACGCACACACACACACAACTCCTCGATAGCATAGTATCTAGCGCTCCGCACAGAGACAATGAAGAGATTTTAGATGATATGCCAAAGAGAAAATGATGTCTGAAGTTCAGTAAGTTTTGCTTATACAGATATTGCACAGCACACTCCCTATAAGGATTTTTCACTGATTGGTTACATTAGGACTGGAACTGATGTGAAGCAGATTCGCGTCATTTAGTAAAATGTATAAAGCTAAAACAAGGTAATTTTGAGGAGAGCACCAAAAAGATTAAATTCGGTTTTGAACACTTTTCATTGCAAATACATGACATTGACATCCATTACCGTTTGTTATGGTCTTGTATCCACGATGGTAAAACTCTTTGTTGTGAGGTTGTCGACGTTTGGTGGATGACGAGCAAATTGAGAGATACACATGCACACTTCAAAAACTATTACCAACTTACTTCCGCTTGCCGTCCTAAATATTTGACGTTGTAGGTACTTGAGCTATTGACTTATTTAGAACAACGTCCTAGTCACAGTCCTCTGCTTAGCCCTGACGTCCTAGCTGACGTCGACGTTGTAGATATTAAGCTATCTATTATCTAATTTTAAAGTATTATTTTTGGGAAACAGTTACGTTGTATATAATGTTGTATTGCACACAGTTTTATTTGTCAACTATCAGTGTAAATGTACTGTATATACAATATGTTCCTTACATAATGAGTAGAAGATATTTTATTGCTATTTTTTAAAGGGTTTATCCTGTGTTACGCTTGGTGAATCAAGAGAAGGCAAAGAAACAACTGAAAGTTGTTTCAAATGGGTGCTACAGTTCAGAGCAACTAAGATGCTTTGGCATTGGCCGAATATATACGTACAACCGCTTCAAAGAAGTATTCCTTTGACGGAAAGTGTGCGTTTGCAGGAAGAAAGGGAACATTGTTTAATGTGTGGTGAAACGTTTTCTGTTAGCGAATGTGTGATCATCTACGAGTTTGCAAGGTGCATATAATTTAGATATATCAGATGCATATGTATTTAAAATGATAAACTACGCCAGGATGGATCCAGCATGATCTGGTAGAGGGTGATCCGACACATAACTACAGTAATGCAAATGGAACCATGAAATGCCATGTCCTGTGATGTGGGCATCAAATTCATATCTCCATTTCTCAATTATCCATGTCTCATACCACTCAATCTCAGAGCCCCATTAGCCATGTTGCATACCACTGTGGCAAGGCACTAGTTGATAGTCTTGCTTGACTACTGAATTTGAATTGTTTTCTTATCATCATGTGGATTACTGGAATTACTGTATCTCATTTTGTCTGTAATATTTTTTTGTTTCTTAAAATCAGAAACCCCCAGCATCCCCTCTTGTTCCAGTATGGCTTAAGGCTAATTGAATGAAAATTACAAACATGTATTTTTAATAAACTACAATACTTAACAATTCCTATAGCATTATAATTCTTCAGATGAAGATGAAACTGAAGAGAGAGATGAGAATGTCCAATCAGGAATTATAAGTCAAAGGTTAATATCAATTCATAGAATGTTTCAACATAACATAAATATAGTTTACTATGCATATGATTACATAATTTGAACTGGTAACGTTTGAATCACAGAATACGAATATATAATCGAATCAATAATGTAACTGCTCTATAGAAAATCACACATTTCCATTGTAGGTGACAAAACATCATTTCAATTGTTTTCAAATTTATCTTCAGAAACGACGTCGTTCAAGTTACAGATGATGACGCATTAATTGAAAATACCACAACTTTGTCATTTGCCGTAACACAACCGGTATCTAATGCTGATGCAGAAGGCAACTCAGCCAATGGCAGTGACCTGGATTCGACAGCCCCAGCTCCAAGACAAATTGATGCACTGAACTTGAAAACAGGAATACCCAGATGAACAATGATATTGAACCAAATAACCATACTGATGCAATTTTCAAAATCAATCTTTCCCTCATTTTTAAGCATTCTCAATTTTGTTTTTAGCCCGGAATTCGATCCTCTGGCTCTGCCTTACTAAGAGCACCTATGAAACACCATCAACGCAACACTAACAGCAACGTAAGTAGTATTGCAATGGTTGTTCCTAATAATCAAAGACTGGGGCCGGTTGTATAAAAAAGTAGTTAGCGCTAACTGCAGTTAAAAAGTAGTTAACTTTAATCACATAGTTAACTCATTAAGGTGCAATGCACCCTGAGATTGTCAAGTGGGTAAGGGACACAATGCACCTGCAAATGACACCTCAATTGTGGGCATGATATTTGAGCACACGTTTATCGGGTCGCCTAGCAACAGATACGAAAATAGAACGCAAAATTCGAGCTTTTTAATGGTACAAAGTGAAATTCGAGCTTTTCAATGATGCACCATGCAAGAAAGTCGGTCAGAAACTCGCAATGTTTTTCAAGTTTAAAATTTTAGTTTTTCAAAAATAATGAACAATGGTGATATTGTTGCAAAAAAGGATTTTACAGCGAGTTTTAACAGCAAAAAAAGAAGAGGTTTTTGAATGATCTACAACAAAAATTTGGCACGAAATTAAAGTGAATGTATTAACGTTTTGGGTCATGTTCTTTTGTGAACCATGCGCAAAATTTTCAGCCAAAAAGATGGGATTTCTCCAAACTTTATCAAAAAGTTGTAAATCACAAGAAATATGAACACGGAATACAAAGTGAGCAGATACGATATTTTTAAGGGTATGTTTGAGTAGAAATACGCGATCAAACACTCACAAAATTTGACCGCAAGTTGGTTGAATCTAGTTTAAAGTTATCTTTTTAGACAAACTGTTTACGTAAATTTAGGCACAATGTCCACTGTTTTCGTGACCCCATTGTTGGTCTTCTTGTGCAAGTTGTTGTTTTAGCTAAAGTTTGTTTCAAAACGACACCTGGTTAAACTTATTGTTTGCGTATGTTCCCTTTTTGGCAAGAATACGTCGCATAAAATCACATTTAAATAAGTAGGATATTCCAAAATCACTGTTATATCTATTTTCATAAATTTAGTCTTAAAATGACAACTTGTTTCAGATCTATTGTGGTTTGAAATAAGTGTATTGAATTAATGCGCTTGCCTGCCATGTGCAAATTCTCAAAAAGTCTGTACGCTACCCGCAACATTTTACCCGAGACAGACCTTCGAGCTCGTTTATGCTCAATAGTTCGGTAGTGTAGCAAGCAGCTTCCGAAATTGGTGTGCAATTTCCACACACAAGATTCCAAATTTAGAAATACGATTGGGTATATTCAAAACAAATTTAAGCTTTGAAAATGACCTGAAATAAACAATAAGTTATCCCTAGATGAGGCTGCTATACCTACATGTAATTATTTAACAATTAGATTATGAGCTTGAGATTTCTCTTAGGTGATAGTTGATTATACCATGCCTGAAATATATGAAAGGTTCTATTTTTTTTGTCGGTACACGTACCTGCGTACCAAGTTTTATAGGGTTTGTTATATAATCGGCACAATTATCCAATAAATTTATTGATTGGTTACTCTCATAAATATAAAAATATCTTATAACGCAATTTCGGAAATCTGGAATATTTATGCGCTAATACTGTATATGCCAATATAACATTTACATTTACTTGCACTATAACAATTGCTGAGAATTTCAATATAACGTTTACTAGCTCTATGGTGGTGTACTAACGTACCGGCGTATCCAGAGAATGCTTCAAGAAAGCTTCCACGAACAGCGGCAGTCGTTGATGAAGGAGAACGAAAAACCTTCTGGACAAAGTGAAAGCTCTGAAAGCAAGGGTGAAACAACTAGAGTCCAGCATGAAGGAGAAAGAAGAGACGTCATCCTCGTCGACAACTGCATTGAGCAATAAGACCGGGCTGAGTGTTGTTGCTACAACATTAATATTGGTGAGTAATTGTTGGAACTGATCACAACTGGTGTTGTGTGCACGCAACAGCTACAGCTGACGTCATACCTAGGGTTCCAGTCTTATTCTTTTATGTGTGTTGTGCAAGCTGCAGAGGGACAATAAAGCAATACCAAAAGCATATTGCTGTGATTAGCATAAATCGTTAACAAGGAAAAACATTTACCTAGATCCATTGTACAATCAATATTCAAACTTTTTCTCTTTAGAACATAGTCATAGAGTGGAGGCAGAAAGTCAGGATACAGGAGTGCAGTCACTGGATGACTCAGTAGGTTCTTCATATAGACTTGGTGACAGCCTAGCCCACTTTGTTGAAATTTTAAAATTTGCTCCTCTTACCTTTCACCCATCTGTGACACATGATAGTGACTGCTACAATGCCAACCTACCACATATGTACTGCGGGCACCTTACCATAAAAGTACTGATCAATGGGTACAGGCCACTGAGACGAAATTCGTAATATAATGTGTGAAACAACCATTTTCGTTTTTGGGAAACAGACGCACTAAACTTGCTCCTGGACGAAAGTTCACAAGCCTTGTGCCTATTTGTTTTAGGCATTGGAAATGACTTGACTGAAAAAGGATCGCCCACGGATGAAGAAAAGAACCATTGCAACTTGTGCGACAAGAGGACGGCATCCCGCATGATAATGTGCACAAAATGCAGTCAATGGGTGCACTACACATGTGCTGGGATGGGAACCTACAAAGAAGCCTTGCGACAAAAAATATATATATTTATGTGCAAGGAATGTAAATGACATGGAGTTATATAATGTACATAACAATAGTTTTACTATGTAATAATCGACGTTCCCTTCTACTGTAATTTGCTTTACAGTTTATTGCATTTTCCATAATGACCTCGCCTCGTTTTTGCCTCGTTCCCATGGATGGGGTATTTCCTCATATTTTGTGCATCATAAGTGTTATAAGGATAGGCTTGCTATTGGGCTTAAGAACAAGCAGCACACAAAACATGTAGATACATAACGGTGGTTAAACGTTTGCAAATGAGTGCCTTGTTCTGTTTTCCGTGCTATGATTCCGTAGGAGACTGAGGAAAACTTTAGCAATGCCGGTTCCATTCTCATACCCAGTGCCCTTCTTATGCACAGTGCGACGAGTGGCTCTGGCCAAATCCAAAACCGGATACCATAAAAACTATTCATATATCATAGAATATATCCGGTATTAGAACAATAACGTTCGTTGTAGCCAATCAGATGCCAGTTTGATATGGATTTGGCCAAAGTCCCTTGTCGTACCACGCGTAAGAAGGGCTCTGGGTACGAGAATGCACCAGTTCATGAAGCTCTCGCAAAAACTTTCTTTCCAAAGGAAAATTCTCCTACAACTTTCCTACCTTAAAATTGTCCATTTGTTTTTTTTAGTCGGATTACAGAGGTTTTCCCCGCACTTCTCATTCTTGTACGCTAACAATTAACCCCCTCCCCCAAAGAAAAGAGTATGTATCCAAAGTAGATTTATAAAGTTTTAAATCTTCGATCAGAGCATTATAACTCTGCAAAATTTTTAGGAAGAACAAACGTTTTGCTGCTTTCTTTACCAGATATTTAACACTAGATTTCCACTTTAGGTCAAAAGCCCAATAATTTGTATGACGTAACTCTTTCAAACACATGACCAAAACAGGCAAACATGAAAACGAGGCCTTTTGGGAGAGAGTGATAAAGAATAGAGTTGTAAGGACAGATCTAAAGCAAGGGGAAATCGAATTTTTAAAAACTTCCTTCCTGTTTGTTTGTTTGTTTGTTTGTTTGTTTGTTTGAAATACTTGTACTGTACAATTCTACTGCATGTACTTGTTTCTAACATAACATATTGTTCTATAAATCACAAGTCTTCAATAAAGGCACTGCCCTGTTTGTTTGGGATGGCAGGAAAACAGGAAACCAGGAACATTTGTGTTTTTTAAATATAAACCTGTTAACAACCATGCATATAAAGATACCGATAAAGTTACATGTATATCTACAATAATGTTGTACTAGCAGCAATATATTTACAAGTATATTTAAAAGTATATTTACAAACAGGGTGCTGCCTATGGTGTTGGCAGAAACAACTACCTTTGAATTGTTGAACTCTTCCCAACCTTGGGAAGAACTGGAACCTTGCAGTGGTGATGGCATTTCTCTGTGTACTTATTGCAGTACTTAACAAGTCAAAGTAAAAAAAAATTGATGCACATGAGGCATTGCACATATTATTTTCTTAAATCTGCTTGCCCAAATGAACGTTTGTTCGCATGCCATAGTGTTAAAAGCAGGTGGTACTTTATCATCAGGGTTATAAAGCTTCTTGCACTTGGGGTCCACATGATTTCTAAGGTGGAGATGGTCAATTACCTTTGAAATTACTTTCCATGCTTTGTTGAATGGTGCTGGCAATGGCAAGTCATCCTTTGAGATGAGGAGGCTGTCAACATGACACATGTTATCATATGCCAAGCAAAGCGATGACATGGCTTCCATAATATCATCGTCAGGACCTCTGTGATCTTTCATAACTTTAAACTTGCGATACAGCCAAAGTATGGTTACAAGGAATGCCTGCGTTGGCAACTCAGATCTACAAAAGTCGAAAAGAGTAATTTAATTCATTTAGCTCTTCTTCTAAACAAAGTCTCTCTATAACTACAATGGAAACGTTTCATGAAGCAAACTACACTGTACCTAAAGCTCTTCGCATGCATTTACAACTGAGATAGATTGAAAGGGCAATGTCACAAATTCTTGAGCAAATCTGGCCCTTGCAAATGTTGCCCAAAACTGAAAATGAAAGGAAGGTAGGCCCAAAAGAAAGCAATAACAGACACAAAAAAACATGTACAGAAGTACGAATGGGCAAGATTAGGCGAAGATTGAGAGGGATTGTAAATAGCAACTTGATTAATTGTTGGCAGACACTTTTTCAAGTTTTGGTCAATTTGTAAGAAGATGTCATCTTACCTTTTGCATGGAAGCTCAAAGTTGTTTAAGACTCGTCTATTATAACTGAGTCCATTTACAGTGTTTGTTTTCAAAATTTCACTTCAGTTTTTGAATAAAAGGCATTTTTATTAAAAAAATCGGTAACATTGCCTTTTAACAAGGGAGGATTTTCATTTTTAAACAGGAGGGGTAGAATAATTCTTAGTGGGGTTCATACAAATGCAGCCACCCACAGGTTTTGTGGATGTGGGACAGTGGGAGCAAAACCCTTAGTCATCTCTATGATGAAAAATAATTCTATCATTATATTAAAACAAAAATGGGTTAAAATAAGATTAAAGCCATTAGACACAATTTTAGACATTTTGTCAATACAGTACAAGTCATAAACACTTAAACACTGCAATTGCATCTTTAATAACTTGCAATCACATGTTTACATTGTTTAGTGTAATACATAAAACTCTTGGTGTATTTGATAATTTCGAATATATCAGCTCAACTGCTGTCTTTCTCTGGCCATTTGACGCAAAAATGTTGTTAAAGACTTTCACACAAAATGGAGGAATGTTGGAAATGTTGCTGGGGTTGAGGGTTAAACCCTCCCCCCCCCTAACCCCCAGTAAATCTGCTCTTGTTAGTAAAATCCCAATATACACTCTTGGATTCAGTAAGCTGTAAATTACTGTAAAAACATATTTTGTAACTGCATTGAAACAAAAATAGAACATGTACAGTGGTTTCCAATAATCGATGTGGCCGCCAGCACTTACAATAAAGAATAGACCCCTAGACCATGACTGGAAAGCCTTCAAGCCACCTGTATCCGTATTGCATGCAATATCCTCCAGGGCCGCCAGGTTTTCAACAAATGTGGGATTCTTGTGAATAAATTCAGATGTGCCTAAATATATATTTAATAAACATATGATTGTGAGAAACTGCTGAATAGAATTTGCCAAATTAACAAATATATGTAGAAGGGTCAAACGATGCATTACTACAATGCAGTAAAGTTCTGACTATATTTTAAGTATGGCTAAAATGGTTCTTACATAACAAGTATAATATTAGAGTGAAATCTGACTGATTTTTACCGTATGATCCCTATTAGGTCCTGGCGGGGGTTATTCTTTTCATGTCCTTTTGAGGGTGGGGGTGGCTTATTATGGAGGGGGCTCAACAGTTTACAGTATTTCCAGAAAAAAACATATGTTCCTGGCTAAGTGTCAGTTTTAAATTTCAAAAATTTCTAATTAGCATACGATTGACCTGGAGGGACTTGTACTTCCATAAATTAAATATTATCATCCTAAATATATAAAAATAATAAAAATTGATATTTTTAATGGTTTGAATTTCATGTGCAGATACGTTTTCCAACATGTATTTTAATTGTTAATTGTCTCCACGCAAATATACATTTGAGTTTGCAAGAACCCTAGTTATTCTACCTTGAAATATAGAAGCATTATCTCTACTTTCGTTCAGATCGCTGTCAGCAAATTCATCCAAACACTTGCTGACAGATTCGAGATTAGTATCTCAGACCTTCCAACTCTCACAGTTTGGCCGTGAGACTCACGGTTTAAGGTCTCATCTCACAGTCTCACGGTTTAGCCTCTAAATCTCACGGTTTTTCACAATAAGTCAATAAAATGGCAAACTCAATCAAAAACAACCTAAAATGAAATCAAATTTATGTGTTCAGTCTGTCTTTATCACCGTTTTCATTTCAGTTCCTGTTCGATCAACTTTGACTTATAAATTTTACGTATAATAGTCTATAGATAATAGTAAAACTATTGTTGCTCGTAATATAATATGCATTATCTAGCGCATTGATAATTGATTGTCCACGCGTGTGTTCGCATACGAATGTGTGATAGCATGCCACGTGTTCAAGATGGCGGAACGAAACAATGACAGCAGTGATGCGGAAAGTGAGCAGTTTGAAGTAGAAGATACTGCTGTTCCTAGTTGTAAAAGAATAAAAACCACACATGTCGGCACTGCCAAGTACCGTTCAAAGTTTAAAAGTGAGTGGGGGCATATGTATCCTGTGAAAGCTGTAAAGAATGATCTGTATTCATTTCATTGTATTCCCTGCATGAATAACATCAAGTGTGACCACCAGGGAATTACAGACGTGAAAAATCATTGTGGCACAGAGTCGCACAAAAAACGAGAAAAACAAATGAAATCTCAGCCCTCAGTTATTTCACTCCCAATCAATAGCCAAAAGATGCGGTTACTAAAGCAGAAGTTATTGTGACTAATTTTCTGATTCAACATAATTTGCCCCTTGCAACTTCAGACCAGCTGGGACCACTCTTTAGATCGGTTTTCCCTGATAGTGACATTGCGAAGAAATATTCTTGTGGACGCACAAAGACTTGTGCCATTGTTAATAAAGCTATGGGTCCACACTGCCATGAGTATGTCGTGCAACATTGTTTACAACATCCGTTTAGTTTGGGCATTGATGGTTCAAGTGACACTGATGTAGAAAAGATGAACCCTATGACTGTGAGGATTTTTGACATAAATAGATCTAAAACAGTTACAACTCAATTTTACGACATGTGTGTGACAAGTGGTCGAGACGCCTCAAAAGCAGAGCAACTTTTTGAGGTGGTTCAGACAAAGATGGCAAAAGATGAAATCCCATGGAGTCAAGCTGTGAGCTTGTCAGTTGATAACATCAATTCAATGATTGGTGCCCACAATTCATTTGCCTCAACGCTGCAAAGCCAAAAGTCCAGATATTTATGTGCTTGGGTGCCCCTGTCATTTGGCTCATATTGCTGCAAGCAACGCGAATGATGCTTTCACAGAGGTGGCAGGAATTAATGTGGAGGACTTGCTAATTGACCTGTACTACTGGTTTGACAAAAGTACCAAGAGGAAAGGAGTACTTGTTGAATACATGGAGTTCTGTGACCAAGAGTATGGAAAAATTTTAAAACATTCGTCCACGAGATGGTTATCACTTGAGCGGTGTGTTGAGCGCGTAATTAAAAAGTATGCTGGGCTCAAGTCATATTTCCTCAGTGAGAACTTTGCTGATGCAAGGTTCCAAAGGCTATGCAAAGCTTTTGAAAACCCAGTTACAGAAATGGTTCTGTTTTTCCATCATGCAAGCATCCCTCTCTTTACAAGCTTCAACAAGTTATTGCAGTCAAATGAGCCATGCATTCACATTGTCCATGACTCTGTAGTTAAACTGGGAAAAACTCTTGGCAATCGCATCATTAAGACCAACATTATGAAGGAGTCAACACTCACTGGTATTAACCTGGAGGACCAGTCAAAATATATACCAGTACAATCAATTCACCTTGGTGGCATGACAAAGTTTAATTTGCGAAAACTGTTAAATGAAGGGGACATTACTGAAAGAACATATAATGACCTCTTTGTAGCAGCACAAGCCTATTTCAAAGCAGCTCTAGGCTATGTCCTTAAGAAGTTTCCTTTGACAGATGAAGTACTTAAGCATGCAAAGTGGATCAACGTACAGAACCACAGTGAGGCAAAGTGGGAGAGTGTTGAGTTTTTCTGGGCAAAGTTCAAATCAGTTTCCAATCTTGGAGACACTGGCATACGGATAGATGCAATGTATGATGAATTCTGTGATTATCAAACATTGACAGATGATGACATTGGTGAGAAGGCCTGGAGTGAAGCTAAAGTTGTTGATGGCTTAGTTGATGGAGAAGAGATATTCCATCACAGGGTAGATGTGCTTTGGTGGTACATCTTTGACATGGTTGTTCCTGGTTGTTCCAAGAAGCGCTTCTGTTACCTCGCAAAGGTGGCAGAGCCTGTTCTCATTCTGCACCACAGCAATGCTGGGGAAGAGAGATTATTCAGCATGGTTAGAAAGAACAAGACTGACAGCCGGTCTTCAATGAAACTTGATGGAACACTTTCCAATTTAATGTCAATGAAGCTGCATTATCCTGAGACAACAACACCTTGTCACAAGTGGAATCCAGAGGAGGAACTACTTAAAAACTCTAAAAAGGCAACCAAAGTATACAATCTTGAACACAAGAATAAGTAGTACCATCTAAGGAACTTGTTTGTCTTGTTACAGTTTGTTGTATTTAATATAGTATATGTTTGTTTGTTAATCAGTCGACGGTGACAGTTACAGTGTAGATAATTTCCTGACATTGATTGCATTCATTTAGCTATATTTAGCATCTGTTTAGACTTAGTTTTAGCTAAAGAAGCACTTACTATGACAGTTTAAATCTTTCTAATATTCGTTGTTGTTGACGTTTCTTTGGTTTTGAAAAATTTGAAAATCTCAAGGTTTGGGACTCAAATCTCAAGGTTTCTTCAAGTAAATTATTGGGATCTCAAGGTTTGGGTGTTTCAGAGGTTGGAAGGTCTGGTATCTAAAACATGTAAAGCAAAGCTATTTTATTGACTGCGCATGCTAACAAAAAACTGAGGCTACAGTGCAAAGTCAATTACAGTAAAGCAGTTTCAAGATTAATTTAATTAAACATACCACTTAATAAAATTTCTAAAGATATTTCTTTCACAACTAAAATGTATAAGAATATACAGTAATATTAAAATAAATTGCTTTATTTGCTTATAATGAATACCAAAGACCACCATCACCATTTTCAGAAATGTATACTGAAAACTGAATTAAGGCACCAATTGACTATTCTCTTGATAAATTTAATCTTACAGGTATTATACTTAACAGGTATTTCGAACATAGTCAAGAAAAACCTCATAAAACTAGCCTCTCATGTAATACACTATATTCTTTACTACAACCAAGTGCAATTAGACATCTTACAGCCAGTCTCGTAATGTCAATCCAAAGTAGGTTTTCAGTTCATTTGAAAGAAAAAATAATCAATGGAACAAGTCAATGTAACAAGAATAGGAATAAATACAGTGCATGGGTTTAATTTCTTCTAGCAACCCTTTAGAACAGTTCATGATAATATGCAATATTCTGCAACAAACCTTCTTCAACATCTCGCTCAGCAACACCACACCTTTTAAAAGATTCCCTCAACTCTGTTGGATGTCCAAGTGCTTGTGATCTCTCACAGTGAGCTGGGCAGAACACATGTCCTCTTTTTGGTGAGAGAGGACAGATGCTAGGGTAGTTGATGACTTTTCCAAATCCGGTATTTCAACAGGAACTTTCCACATGTAATGGGCATAGCGAAGTTTCCAGTTCCCGTCAGCGACATACAACTGGCCACAACCTACAACCTACACAATTTAGGTGACAAGTATATATTATACTTGATGCACATAATTTTTATATTATCTATAATCCACATTGATTTGATTATTTACTTCGAAGTACTTTCAAATAAAGTACAGTACAGTACAGTACATATTTATTAACCCTTTTAAATCAGACTACTTTCTTAATTAATTACATATATATCTTCTGAAATCAGTGGCAAATACTGCAATTTCAATGGAGTGCGATTTAAGCATTAATCGCACCCTTTGCGAGCTGTAATCTTGCACCCTTGTCCACAGCTAGTGAAATTCAGCATAGTTTTTGCAACTAGCCAATCAGCATTCAAGATACAAAGAACATTATTTTTGTTCTTAATATATAGTTCACATATGTATTATATATATCATATTATAAGAATTGCAGTACGAAAAGTTATCTCACCTTTCCCCTTGCAATGGTCTGAGCAGTGATGCTGATAGATTTCATTTGATCTTTTTCGGGCAAAATATTCCATAGCATCATCATAGTTTCCAGAAGTAAGTGTGGCTTTTGATCTGATGCGTCCCCAGTCGTCTCTGTGAGGACGCGCGAAACAGGCATGCGCGAAACGAGGGAGACGACTGGCAGATCCTGTGTCGAAACTCTGGAATATCAGTCGAAACTCTGGTCAAGGCTATTTTTGTTATATTACACGAGTTTCAACCGCTTATATTAATTCGGAATTTAACAACATGAAATACCTACATTTTAGCGGGAGCGTTAGTATTGCAGCTATAATATTGAGCGCGATTTGTTGCCTAAACGAGGGTGTCAAAATTGCCGTCGGAATATAGTTTGAATATATTATGTCTGGTTTTCGGCACGAGTTTCAACCGCTTATATTAATTCGACATTTAACGACATTCATCCCTAACGCAGATGGTTTGAATGCTTGTGAAAATGCCTACATTTTAGCGGGAACTATATTCCTGTAGCTACAATATTGAGCGAGAAAACGTTGTCTAAACGAGGGAGTCAAAATCACACAATGTAAACAAAATTTTAAAACAGAATATATAATTAGAAAGTTTAATGCAACATAAACATGACATTTATTCGACAATATCTGTGCGAATATTACAGGTATAATAATTTTACACATATTGTTAGATAGCTGGTGAAATCAGCTACATTTTGGTACGAGCTATAATATTGTAGCTAGAATATTTAGCGAGAATTCGTTGCCTAATCGAGGGTGTAAAAATTGCCGTCGGAAAACACATTCTAGTCGGAATTTATTATGTCTGGTTTTAGTTTCAACCGCTTATATTAATTAGAAATTTAACGACATAAACCCCTAACGCGGATGATTTGAAAGCTTGTGAAAAAGCTTACATTTTAGTGGGATTTATATTTAGGTTAGTAAAAATTTTGCCGAGAAAACGTTCGCAACAAACTGTTGTCATGCCACGGAAATTCAAAAATATAACTTTCAAAGTCTCGCCTTGGCATGTAAACACACGCATTTGAAACTTCCAAAATATATAGTTACAAACATTTAACAGGCACAGTTGGAAACGTGTCTTATGAAACGGTCTATTTTCAAAATAATGATTTTCTTGAAAATCCGCCATTGATTTTGCGTCCATCTTGAAAACAGGATATGCCAGTCGTCTCCCTCGCTTCTCCCTTCCCTTCCACCCCTGCGCACGCTTTCCAATTCGCACGTGCTCACAGAGACGACTGGGGACGAGTCAGGCTTTTGATGATGAAAATACCCATTCTTCTTGAAGACTACGCTCCAGCAGTTCCTCCTCAACTTCACGGTGCCAAAAACATTTCGCTATAGCCTTAGCAGACATTTCACTGGGTAATAATCCTAAAATGCATCAGATATTAGTTAAATTAACTGCAAAAAGCACATGGGGACAGCTCAGTTAGACTTGCACCAAGTCTGCCTCTTGTGAGACCCTAGGGCAGAGTGTGTTTTCCCACCAATGGTTAACATTTAAAAGTCTACAATAGACTAGCCTGGACAAAACTTTCATCACAGCTTGAAAGAGCGTCACAAAATTAGTAATATTCCGAAGTCTCGTTGTGAAATGTTGTAAAATGCAGATAATATATCCTTGCGAAGTTTGCCGTTTTTCAGTCATTTTGTATTACAAATGGGAAATTGATAATCAGTTTGATCATCTGTTGACTCGAAACAATAACAGAGTTGCATCGATAAATTTTCCTGATCTTTTGCGAAATAATGTAATTTTGAAGCATGCTGATTAAGCTACCCTTCATTTTGCCGTATATTAATACACATATTGTAAATATAAAATTGTAAATTTTCAGCAATATTGTTTACAATTAGAAAATATAAAGTTGTTGGAAAATTACATTTTCAAGACTTCTATATTTCCACTTTGTGGGTAGATATATTTTCATCTTTTTTTTCTGTATTTTCTGATAGGATTGTGAGGTTGGACTTTGGGCACATGAAACTGCAATCACTAATCAGTATTACATGCTACATTACTGCTGAAATCGTCCCATTACAAATCTCTCTATTCATGGCATTTGAAATAATTATTGTATAACTTCACAATTAAAATACTAATATTGTTCAGAAATATCTTCTTTTAGCAAAAGAACAGAATAAAATAAAAGCAACTTTGCTATTTATTGGAGTCAACAGGGAACATGGTAGCAACTTGACAAAATGACAGTGTTGATTGCAATGTTACAATATTGCGTGGAAACGAACAACCAGTTTGAATGTGTTTTCCTCTTTATCATTTGTATTGCAATGTATGTCCTGCAGTAATCCCTATTAAAACAATGTTTGTTCGCCTGCTACATTATAAGTACTAGATAAAACATGAGCAGATAAAACTGGGTAAGACTTAAAGTAATAAACTGATAATCACCTGGTGATTGGATTGGCCTCTAATTTTTACGGTGTTAAGGGATGGGCTACCAAAAGCGCAGACACCAAATATATGATTTTCCCAGCCCACCCCACCTCCCTTTTACTTTATGACCAGTCCCTTATCTCAAAACACTTACCAATAGCACTTTCAACATATTTTATAACAGTTAGCTACTGTTACAACAAAAATTATTAAGGCACACAAATTTCTTAATAGCTGCACAAACATTGGAGGGGACATATTTAGCGGGGGACCTGGAGAAGTTCCAGTCAGCAAGTCTATCACTGCAGCTACCAGCATATATGTGCATGGTAAGTATACGTCATAGGGCAGCAGATCAGGCTGCAACTAGGATTCTGAGACAACAGCGTCGACCACCAAAGGTGCAAGCTTGTAGAGGGGTATGAGTTGGATTTCTTGAAGCTCAGATAAGCTATTTCCCGCACTTTGAGGAGTTTTCCAACAAGAAATTAACCTTATAAACAGTGACACAATCACTACATTTTCACAGTCTCCCAAATGTAATCCAGTTAACATAGTAAGGCAACATGGTGTGATGATGCGGTAATTAGCATGTGTGTGTGGTATAGTATTATCATTCACCACACTTCAAATTCTACAGTACTGTATTACATGTATTGGGGTACTTGAAATCGATGCATTCATCTTCTCAGTGTCACTGAAGAGCAAGATAGAGTGGTCTCTTTGGAATATCTTTGCTTGGAAAAACTAAACTAGAATTTCGTCCTAACATGCCGCTTCATGCTTTGTCCCACGAGCAAATTATTTCAGTCATGGTTTCGGTTTCTGGCGATGTTTAAATTTCAGTCCCCAAATTCTGGCCTACCAAGTCAACTGACTCAGTTGGCTCGTTACAGGCCTGCAGATGATGGTCAAATTCAGAAATGTTCACAACTTAACATCGTTTTCTCACTTTGATACATAATTGCTGGTTGACCACTTACTGCAGGTAGTTCTTAGAGACCTCACTGGGGGGGGACAAAATTGCCGACTGGAGGGAGGAGTAAGAGTGCTGGGGGGACATGTCCTCCCCAGTCTATATGTTAAAAGAGGCCCTGAATTAAATACAGAAAGGTCTTTCTTTGCATGGCATGCATACTGCATTATGCAATATCTTTCTCATAATTAGAGACTTTTAGTTTGACATTTACAGCTAACGCCAAACCGCTAAAGATGATTGTGATTTAACTACGCTCTTGTAGAAATTACACTCATTTTGTTACATAATAAACATCCTACACCAAGCTCATGACATTTAGCAATAATGATTATCAGACAAAATTAGTTAGCCACTAGCCAAGACAGTAAATTCAGCTTTTAAGTTTGAGGTTAACATTTGCAGTATAAATTTTACACATGGATCCTGATAAGTTTTATTTCTATTTTTACAATATGAATTTTAATACACATGCCCTTGAAAAATTTCTGCATATTTTTACATGGCTACCCTTATGATTGCACTGAACATTCGATGACCCACCCCTTCAACCATGCTCAAAAATAGTGACCCACCCTCTATTTTTCCCAGTCCCTAAGTGCTGAAAATCAGTGTAACCCATTAAGCTCCAGCACTCTCCCCTTGATGAGTAAAATTGTCTGGCGTTAAACAGAGTAAAATACCAAAGTAGGGCGCATATACTTGGGTTATCGTAAACAAAAAAGGGTACGAAATTGGTGAAAACTAAATACTGGGGTCAGCACACAAGTTGACCTCAACTGGCGCATCATCTTAGGCATGACTCGTGAGGTTTACACAGAATGCACCATGGCTTGACACACTCTGCACCACCCCAAACATGGCTATGCTAAAACTGTGACCTACTGCGGATGGTAATAAGTCTAATTAATATAAAATGCACTAAATATGCAACCAACCTTTTAAAATAGAACCATAACGTTGAATTTCCTTCTCATACACATCATATGACTCGGCAAATCCACTGAAGGACACCCAACTATGATTACTATGTGCAAAAAGTATAAAATACCAGTCTTAGTTAATAGTATAAACGTTTTGTCTATAAAGAATGTTTGAAGATTGTTTAGAAGCGCTCACCTCAGGGATGGAAACCACTTATATAAACTCAGCTCGAAATAGGTCACATTGCTGATCTCCACCATTTCAATACTCATATATGAGGGATAAAAGTGCTTTCCAGATGCGTCAGTATAGTTAAGCTCCAACGATTTAGCAACACTCCCTACACTCCAAGGTCACTTTGGAACATGGAATCGGGCCGTTCAACGTGAAAAGGGTAACCTTGCATGGATTATTGCGAATAGTTAGCTTCCTATCACACTGCATACACAAGGACACTGGAGGCGTAAGAAACTTGTTGAAAGGCGTAGACTGTTCCTGCTCCGTAAGCCTCCACAACACATCATCATCGTCTTTCTTGGCTAGGAACAACGAACAATACTTTTCCGCAAACTCCGTATACAGTTCAAGATCCTCAACAGATACTGTCGCTTCGCTGCTGGTTGTAGCACACGTGGGTGACGACAAAATGTTAAAAACTTTGTGTATTAACATCGAGCGCATGGAGATTCCATTGACCATGCGAACAATGTTAGCCAGAACGTGGTTGATAGCCTTTCTCAGATTAAAAACACTTTCGATCGAAAGTTTGCTACCAAGTATTTGTAGCGCTTCATCTTGAGTTAAATTGTGATTTTCTGTCACGAAGTGACACAGATCCAATTCTTTCAAAGCGTTAATTTGCTGCCGAATTTCGCGAATACACTTTTCCTTAGACTGAATTCTGGCCTGAATGGCATCGAAATCAAACATTTTCGATATTTTTTGTTTTTTTGATTGCCTGTGCGATATATTTGTGCAAAGAAACAAACCAAAAAAAGGCAAAGTCAAGCAAATACCGTGCCAAATGTAAATGCAAATACAAAAGAATGCGCAGCGCAAGGTCGGAAGGACTGGGTACAAGGACTCGAGTACGCTGGTACGCATACCATCTGAACTTTTATTATACCCTGCGTATATATTAGGCATAATTTGTAGTTGATGAGACAAACTATCGCCTCATAGGAATTGAGAGTGAGTATTTTTTTTTTTTAGTAGAATCAGAGATTAAACATAAAATAATTCAGTAGTAGCCATTTTTTTAAAAAATGCGCCAGGAGAAGAATTGTTTTCCTACTTGCTATTTATGGAGGAATATATAATGAGTAGAGTTAGCCAATCAAATTACAGCATACTGACATGATTCTACTAATATGTTTTATATTATAAATCTTAACAAATAACTTGTTCATTTATCATTTTATCCTTAGGTTACAGCATGTTACCGCTTCCATGTTTTATGCACAAAGATTTAATTACTAAACTTTTCGGTGTTCACACAGAAGAACTGAATGCAGCTGAAGAACAACTTTGTGACGGCTCCTCCAAATTTGGCCTAGTAGAGGTATATTATATTTATTGTACAGTACAGTACAGTAAAGTACAGTACAGTACAGTACAGTACACGGTTACTAATAGAAATAGCCGTCCGTGAATTTGTCGTACCAATTCAATATCAAACCAAATATGAAGTTGCAACATTGGATACGTAGTGCCGGCGTTTTGTGCTTTCGTTTTAGGCTCCAAATGTATAGTTATGTTCGTTCACACTTTTTTTATTTTAAACAAGAAACACAAGAATAGTCAAATGACTGACAAATGTTCCGTAAATGCTATAGAACGTTCATGTCTATAGAATGTCAATTCAACTCGAAAATTTGCTTATATGCGCTGCTAGGGTACTTATTGACTTGTATTTTATTTTATAATTTTTACTGTAGCTCATCAAGGAAAGACCATCCATGCTATTCCTACTACTGAGAACAGCATGTTATCCCTTGATGTATCCAAGAGTAATAAAGATGTCCATCCCAACTTTTTCAGAACAGGGTTCCAACACGCAGATGCAAGAGAACAAGACATACAGGCTTTTTTTTAATTATGTTAAAGAAGTTGCTGGTATGTTCTAAATTTTGTACATTGTAGCTTATAAAAAGCGATCTCCTCAAAAATCGGCAATGTTCGAGAATCTCTGTTAAGTGGATAAAGGAACCGAAACCAATTCTCCAGCTTAATACAGGTTTCAATACTGCCCCAAATATAATTTTTTAGCACTTTAAATGGGATATTATTTGTGTTACATGTGTAAGTGTGTTTTTTTAATTTTAAGAAAGCAGGTGTTTGTAAAGATATGCACAATTAAACAATTATTGGTACTTTCATTCCAAAAAAGGAAAAAAAGATATCCTTTAGCAAAAAAGATAGTGCAGTGCAGTACAGTACTAACATATCACCATTATTCAATAAGTTACATTTGTAAATCTATGATTGAAGAATTTATATTATTTATACTCTAGATTTGTCAGAAACCACAACTCAATCTCCTTCAAGTTCAACTGTTCAACCATTAAATGATGACACCAAGCAACAATCCATGAAGTATGAAGAATTCCAAAAACGAAAGGCATCCAGCAGAGTAACAACTTTACCATCAACTTCTAGCAAGCCCAAGAGATCAATATCCAGCAAAGGCAATTCGACCGAAAAAGTTAAGAATTAAGATTCAAGTTGGCACAAAGTGGCCTCGACTCTCAAGGTACTGAAAAAAGAGCTCTTCCGCCTGCTGTTGACCCATGCATCAATGCAAATGGCTACTTCAAGAGGCACTTACTAAACACTGCATACATTTTCGTTCTTTCAACGGAAATGTCAATGAATATGTTTTATTATATCCACCTCTTGCCAGGATCATCTCGGTTTTTCCCCTCAAGGTATACAAAGAAGACTTGGGAAAACCTTATTCAAAAATGCCACTTCATTAGAATGTGTTTTCAAAAGTCAGAAGCAGAATCAAAGCCTTTCCAAGTAACACCCAGTCTATCATACCATTTCTTTGTAATTCAGATGCTTCAGCAGATAGTCCACAATCAGTCTCTTGAACACAAAGAAGTCAGAGTGACATGCCCAACGTGCTATTTGGATTTACCTATACATGAAATTGAAGCAAACACTGATGTTTGTGCAGAGCAGATTGACCCTGTTGGTACCGTAAACATGGAATTAGAGTCGGAGATGCCAGACAACCAAGATGAAATAGTAAGTGAGCTACGATTGGCGATAGAAGTGGCAAGTTGGAAAAAAAAATAAGGCAAGTGGTCTCCAATTTACGTCAGTATGTGAACATGGAGAATATCAATAGGATTTCTATCAGGAGAAGATATGCATATCAAGATTATCTTGCTGCAGTCACACGCCAAAACAAGAGAAGACGATTCAACCAGAATGGCATGCTTAAAGTCACATTTATTGGTGAACCAGCAGTTGATGATGGAGGACCTCAGCGTAAATTTTTTTTCAGGTGTGCACATATAGGTGTGAAATTTTTTGGCAGGGAAATTTTTCAATAAAGTAACGCTCTAAGCGGGAAGTTAAAAAAAGATGGAAAAACCTACTTCATCTGATGCCAAGCCTCAACAAGTAAATTAATGGGGATTTCGCCACCTAAACCACTTTGTATGGTCGGTGATAATCTCGCTGAAATCTGGAGACTTTGGAAACAGCTATGGGAAAATTACACCATTGTAGCACAACTTGACGAACACCCAGAAAAGTTTTGATTTGCTATGTTTCTACATGCTGTTGGTCCTGAAGGGCTTATGGTCTACAACACAATGACATTAGAGGACGAACCAACATTACAGAGCATTCTCTCAAATTTTGAACAGCTGGCTATCAGGACACTAAATGAAACCTTTGAAAGATGCATTTTTAAGAGAGACCGAATTGTCCTTGGTGTTAATAACCTGAATACTCGAAAGAAATTGCTAGGGGAGATTTATCACTGGATCGTTGCATAGATATCTGCAAAGGAGCGGAAGCAACTAAACATCAAATAAAAGCAATGGGAGAAGAAGGAAAGATTCATCAGATGCAAAACAATTTTGAAGAGAAAGAGAGGCAATATAATCCAGTTCAAAAGGAACAATACTCTGGTATACAAGAGTGCAAATTTTGTGGCTGTAAACACAAAATGGTGAAATCAAATCAAACTTGCAATTTATGTAAGCGTAGTAACCATTTTGCTGCTTAATGCCCAAGAAAGGATAAGAAAATAAGAATCGTCTGAACTGCCATCAGAGACCGAATTGATAAGTACAGTCTCAAGAATAAACTCTATCTGGGGGAATTTGTCCACTGCATATAGACCAATATGTCAATTGATAATCAGTCTGTAAAATTTCAAGTTAACTGTGGTGCCTCAGTTAAAACAATTTCTAAATGCCTCGTACAAGGGGAAAATAAACAATGGGCATGTTAGTCTGCGAATGTGGAATTCATCAGAGATGCAAGCTGTAGGGACATGCCTTTTGAAAGTCACTAACCCAAGTAGTAATAGGAAGTATTCTATAGAGTTTGTGGTCGTAGATAATGATTTGACTCCTCTGTTGGGTTCTAAAACTTCACAACAGATGGGGCTCATAACAGTAAACACTGACAAGTTTGTTTGCATGACTGCTACCACTGGGTTTCCCAGTCAGAAACAAAATCTATTCGAGATGAGTTTGCTGACATATTTGATGTATCCCTCAGAACATTCCCTGGTACAATCCACTTAGAAACTGATTCATCAGTAACACCATCTGTTCTACCACCTAGACGAGTACCTCATGCTATAAAAGACCAGTTAAAGGGAGAGTTAAATGATATGGTCGAAAAAGAGATTTTGAGCTGAGTTGAGAAGCCCACTCAATGGGTGAGCCAATTTGTTGTTTGCTGAAAGAAGTCAGGCAAATTGAGAGTATGCATACACCCAAAACCTCTAAATAAAGCACTCAAAAGGGAACATTATCATTTACAAGTTTTGAATGTTCTTCCCTGCCTGAATAAAGCAAAGGGATTTACAAAGCTTGATCTTGCATCTGCCTTTTGCACATTCAATTGGATGAAGAGTCAAGTTTTCTGACTACCTTCAATACACCCTTCGGAAGGTACAGGTGGCTCAGATTACCATTTGGTATTGAAGTATCATCCGAGATTTTCCAGAAGCAGCTGAATCAGGTCGTAGAAGGTTTAGTTGGAGTGCATTGCTGATGATATTGTTGTATATGGTTGTGGTGAAACAATGGAAGAGGCCCAACTTGATCATGATAACCTGACCAACCTGTTAAAGAGATACAGAGAAAAGAATGTTAAGCTTAGTTACGAGAAGGGTGACTTCCCACTAGTCCGAAGGTTCACTACTCCGAAGGTTCATTATATCTAGTCCAAAACATACACTGGTTTTGAATTACAATTACGTGTTAAACTTGGCTGCTTCGCAGTTAAGCATTTTTCATACCTGCATACACGCATGCACGCACGCACACACAGAAAAATTTAAATCCACTTGAAAGTCTTTTGTCCACTTGAGAAATAATTAAATGAATAAAAGGATAGCATTTAGTTTTGTGTTTGATTTTAAGTGTACTTTTAAGCAATTATTTAGAAAGATTTAAACTTTTCCGAGTGTATACATACGTGAAAAAATGGGCAACTTGAAAGCAGCCTTAAGTCAATGTGACCAATGACATATGCAATGAAAGCAGCATGAAGAAATATGCGTTAAATAAAAGAAAATATGTTGTTTCGTTATCTTAATGAGTCACAACTTGAGCAAGCTAGATGTTACTCACAGCACAAATTTCAATGATGAACCGTAACAATCAAATTTCACGTAGCATCCGTAGTCATTGGTCACATTGACTTAAGGCTGCTTTCAAGTTGCGCATTTTTTCATGTACGTATACACTCGGAAAAGTTTAAATCTTTCTAAATAATTGCTTAAAAAGTACACTTAAAATCAAACACAAAAGTAAATGATATCCTTTTATTCATTTAATTATTTCTCAAGTGGACAAAAGACTTTCAAGAGGATTTAAATTTCTCCGTGCATGTGTGTATGCAGGTACGAAAAATGCTTAACTGCGAAGCAGCCAAGTTTAACACGTAATTGTAATTCAAAACCAGCATATGTTTTGGACTAGCTATAGTGAACCTTCGGAGTAGTGAACCTTCGGACTAGTGAACCTTCAGACTAGTGAACCTTCGGACTAGTGAACCTTCGGACTAGTGAACTGTAACCACGAGAAGTCCATGTTCAATGGGGCAGAAATACCATTTATGGGACATCTGATTACAAATGAAGGGCTCAAAACCAGATCCTGCCAAGATTGATGCTGTTGCAAAGATGACCAAACCTATTGATGTGAAGAGCATCCAAAGATTCATTGGTTTTGTGACCTACTTAAGTCTGTTTCTTCCTGATCTCTCCGACCATCTAGAACCTTTGAGACAACAAGAATACAACTATTTATATCTTAAACTTACAACCACGGGAAATTTACCATAGCAATGAAACAATTAGCTGATAAAGCAAAACACGCTATGTTCAGCACAAAGAAAATCAAAATCTTTGAGAGTATTATCTCACCAATACTTCTCTATATCATTCAGAAGTATGGGGTGCATTCATTTAAAGTGATCTTAATAAATGGGATCAATCCGAAACAGAAAAAGTTCATTCCAGATTCTGCAAGTTATACTTAGGAATTAATGGAAAAGCAACAAGTGTACTGTGTAGAGGTGAATTAGGAAAATTTCCTCATTAATAACCATACATAAAAGAATAATCAAATACTTGCACACATAAATACCCTTCATGACTTCACTGTTGTGAAACAAGCATTCCTAATCTCCAAAAAACTTTAAGAACTGAATTAACCCAGTTTTTACTCCAATGTCATTAAGATACTTAAATCCTACACTGACGTGAACTAAATGAATTAGAATCTATTACGTACTATTCATCAACAAAGTCAATTTATAAGTAATGCTAAAAAATATGTCATCTTCTGGAAACATAAGTTTAGACAATATCTCCAACTGACATTCACATCTTCTGAGCATTCACTAATGAACTGAAACTTGTGCGGCGGCCCATGTCACAATTGCGTCTCCTCATTTTACAACTTTTTGAATAGTGATTGCATAATTACACAAAAATTTAATTGCAGTTATGTCACTGTGAGGATGAAGCAACAGACAAAGATATCCGTTGTCCGATGATGTTTTCAACGTCCTTGAGAAAGTCGTTATAGGGAAGTTACATCAAGAGAAACTTTGGCCTCCAGGGATGCCATTGTAAGGTATGCTAAATATAAAATATGAGAAACTTGCAGTAATTGGTTGATATATATCAAGGGTAAAGTTTATATATACAATTGGAAGAAGACCAAATCGGGAACAGTGCCAAAAATGTAAAATATAAACCTGTTGAGTTTAGATTATACAGGTAGCTACTACTAATTATTGATCAGAAGGAATTATGGTATATTGCTATTAACTCTTCCTTCTCTAACTATTGGACCAGAAGATTGAGGGGTTATGTTCCTTTGGCATGCTTGAATGCATTAAAGAGAATCTGAATTATTGGAGCCAGTGTTTGCTAAGTCAACAATTTTTTTGACATGCTTTTATTATTAAATATGATACACTTATTATTAAATGTTCTATATAAAATATTATGTCATTGTATTGTGATATGGTATAATATCCTAAGGATGGCAATTCTCTGACACAATATATTTCCACATGTTAATATGGTCACTTGAAACAACAAAAATAACACTAGTTTTTTGAGAGAGAAAAAACTAGATAGAAAACAGCTTGGATTTATTTTTCAACTTTATTCAAATTATTGAAAAAAGTTGGGAAGCTTATAGTACTTAAATTTCTACAATAAAAAGTGTTTTATTATCGAAATTGTGCTGTAAAACCATCGGCTTCTTGTCTGCTGAGAAAGTGGGAAAATTCCAAATATAACATACCTCAGTAAAAAAAAGTGATCATGATTACTGTGCTATGAATTACAGTCAAATTGCACTTGCATCAGTATTCACATTATTTGTGAACAATGGTGGCCTAAAAATACTGTCACAGTCTGTTTACAACATTATTGAATTTGCTGAAAAAATATTTAAAGTAGATGTTTGCAAAGATGGCCTCAAAATTTCAAGAGGAAACAAGTTAAAGCAGAAGCTGGTTCTGAGTGTGTGCAACCATTTTGTAATGGATTCACCCACCCAATTTTCCATGATCACGATCAGGGATCACAAGACAATTTACTTGAAGAAAATCACCGGTCATCCCTTATCTAATTAACAACAGAAAGATACTTCACCTTGAGACTCTTCACCTACGGCAAAGGATACAACAACAAGGTGTTTAATGGACAGCCAAGCATCAGGCACCAGCTAACGAAGAGATGATCCTGTTTAAAGATCAATAAAGTTAAACATGAATCATTTTATTATCAGTTGTATAATTCATAAATATTTGTAATTTCAATTAAATTATTACCTTTTTGTCCAAAACCTTGAGTGTTGGATAACAATAAATATATTCCAAAATATATTTCAAAAGCATGTATATATTTTACTTCTGTTCTGATCGTCTTCATTTAACCATCAACACACAATCCAAACAGCATAACCGCCATAACAACCATGCCATTGGAATACGACCTTTGGAATACTAGCCCAATGCTCTTCCAACTGAGCTACGTGGTCAGGACGGTTCGAGTAAGTGATATTTCAGAACAGTATCTACAATCCTGGACAAAACCATCTGCGACACTCTATTAAAACATTCCTTTGTGGCTTTTTTTACCAGTTAGACCGGAATAATTTACTCGTTTGCCCCCCCCCCCCCAAAAACAATGTTGGACGTTTTATCCGTATTCTACGAATCCAATCAACATTGAATGGTGGGGGAAAGGGGGAGGTTTTCTAAATTTATGATAACATTACGATATTTTGTCAAGTATAATTGGAAGTGTCGCAGATGTTTTGTCCAGGATTGTCTGAGATGAGTCGAAATTACATTCTTTTATATTTCGCTTGTTATACATGTCCTTGCCATGTATTTTGTTTATGCGCATTGCTCATGACCTACTTATATTCATAATTACATCAAGTACCTTATTTCATTAATTAAATACGTCATGAATACCTTAGTGTTTTGGAGGGGGTAATAATGTGTGGTAGAATATACAACACAGTATATTATTTTTAATTTTAGCAATTAAAAGCAACAAAATGTTGCGGAAATAATTGAGAAAGTAAAACTATCGCGTTCTAGTCGATTCGTTGCAATAATTCAGAAATTAAGAAATATATACGAGTCATATTTGTTAACTGTATATATATAAGACCTGCAAGACACAATAGACAACCTATAGTCGACCATGTGAGAAGGTGCCTAGACGGACATGCAAACGATCAGTGAATGAGATGCAATGTACGACACAAAAATATATTTCCATGAGAGTTCGTGCAACTTATATATTGATAGGTTATACATTCAGTCTATACATAGACGAATGCGTGTGGTATCCAGTAGAACTAAAGGACAATAAATTCAATATAGTTACCGCGTTTCTGGTATTCACTGCATATATTTAGAATATTAAGCGACAACTATATAATTGTGAATTATGCATTTTGACACAAGTTTTCCTGGTGTGGTAAATCAATGCTCATATTTTCCCAATGTCATACCTAACGGTGTACCACTGACCAATACACTAAGACTGTGATAATATCCTCAGTTATGGGATATAATACAAACCAATGAAATGGACTTGAAAGAACGTGTGTTGCTTAGGTTATTCCAACCTACTACAGACAATATTTAGCGCGATAATTTTAAAATACTCCACGGTGTACCATTTTCACCCTACAAAAGGTTATATATATATATATATATATATATATATATATATATATATATATATATATATATATATATATATTTATATATATATATATATATTGTTTTGGAATGTTGACATTGTTTAAAATTTATAAGTACCCCCCCCCCCAATTAGGATAGGTAAAAAGGACTGGACACGAACGGTCGCGCTGAGAAAAAGAGAGCATGGTCAGGGTTCTTTTGTAATGTTTGTGTTCTAAAAATACAGTGTTTAAAAAGGTTGTTTATTGACTTTAAAACCACGCAAAGAATCCAAAATAGTGAAAAGTAGATCCATTCTTTATTCGACAAGTTCTATACGAGAACAAGTGGTCCTTCGACGAGCCGGATCTGGCAAAATTACGGGTTTATTTGTGTGGTTATTGCGACCTCGACGAATTTGAAGCGATATGGCTGACCAAAACGGCGAAAAACTTCCGAGTTTACCGGAAAATAATGACGAAACAACCAAGCAAGGCACCGACGAAGTAAAGAGCCAAGTAAGTACGAAGAGTACACGGTATTTAAAGCTTAAAAATAGGAAGAAAGCTGCAAAAGCTAGACTGACAAAAGCACGAAATCAAGCAGCCATGTTGACCACAGGACACCCAAGTACCAAGACCGAAATTAGACGTGCTATAAAGAAAGTAAAGGCTGAGAGTGCTATAATTGAAAAGATTATTTATGCTTTAAAAGAAACTGTTGTTTTAAGTGATGAGGCGTTAGAAGGAACAGACGTAGACACTGTAATAGAAAATTTAGACAAAGAATTATGTGACATTATGGACTTAGTTGACACTACTATAAAATATGCCAATGACCACATTAAGGAACGACTTGTCAATGGTGAAGATGAATCGGAAGTATCCACAATCGCGTCAAGTAAAATATCTGTAAATTCAATGGCAACAAAGTCATCCCATACAAAGTCATCCCATGCAAAGTCATCCCATGCAAAGTCATCCCATGTAACCCCCCCTAAGTCAGTAGAAAAATCTGTTGTTGAGACACAGCAACAAGAAGTGAAAGATGCGAATGATAGGCTAAAGCAGCTTGAAAAAGATCAGCAAGCATTAGAGCAAGAACTACAGAAAAAATGTGAGACTTTTGAACTCAATAAAGAAAGAATAAAGGATGCACGTTCGATAGTATTTTTGAATGAAGCACGAGCTAAAGCCACTGAACGGTTAGGCAAAGTGACTGAAGATGTTACTGTATTACCTGTAAAAAATAATCAGAATTCACCTGAGAACATGACACCACCCCAAGCATTTCCCTTTGGATTGCCGCCGACCTCTACACATGTCAAACTGAAAGGCGTAGAGTTGCCAACATTCTCCGGTGAGAATAAAACTGAATTTGAAGCTTGGAATGCTGCATTTACATCAGTTGTGGATGATACAGATATGCCTGTGAAAGAAAAGATGCTGAGACTGCAGAATTGCTTGCGTGGAAAAGCATTGGAGACTGTACGAGACCTTGGCTATTCAAGTTATGCATATGAAAAGGCAAAGGAGAAATTAGAACGAAAGTATGGTGGAAAACGTCGACAGATCCTTTCTCATTTGGCAACCCTTCGAGGACTATCAAAAGTACGGCGTTATAATGTGGAAGACATGGAAGAATTACTGGCAATCCTCGATCGAATACTGGTTGCACTGCAAGATGGTGACGAAAATGGAGAACTAAGGGGACAACATCTTGGTCTTACGGTAAAAGAGAAGCTTCCAGAAGAGTATGTCCGAGAATACAAGTATTGGTTACATGAGCAGGGAGAGTATGACACATTTGAAAAACTGGTTGAATGGATCGACACCAGAGTTCGGATAATGGATGAAGCGCGAGAGGAGACAGGAGAATTTGATAAACGACGAAATCCAAAGGACGGAGAAAGGCGTCATAATCGAGGATACAACACAGGTAGTAATGTTCGACAGTGTGTGGTAACAAAATGTAAGATTGATCACCCGCCATGGGTTTGCCAAGAGTTCAAGAAACTTCCAGTTGCACAGCGCAAGGAACTAATTAGCAAAAGTGGACGCTGTTTCCGATGTCTTGCTGCGGGTCACCACAGTAGAAACTGTCCACGCAATCGAAAATGTGGAGTCGACGGATGCGAGAGTTCTGGGCATAGTAGCTACCTACATGATCCTGGTCGGAAGAATGCAAGGAATGATGCAGCATCGAGGAATCAAGACCATCCAACTGAAGGCGAAAACATGACTATGGTTACAAGTGAAGAAGTTGGCAACACTACTGCCAATACATACAACACTGCTCGAGTCGAACAGATCTCCCTGATGGTTCTACCAGCTATTATTGGAAATGGAGCAAAGAAATTAAAAGTCAATGTTATGCTGGATCCCTGCTCGACCGGGTCGTACATAACCGAGAGTGCTGCTGAAGAGCTTCAGTTGAAAGGTGAGAGACAAAACTTGACTATTTCAGGAACTGGTGGTACAGAGATCAAAAAGCAATCAAGACGTGTCCATTGTTCAGTGTCTTCCATGAATGGGTCCTTTTCAGCACCTGTTGAAGCTAATGTTCTTGATAACATTACTGGAAACACACCAGCTATTGAATGGAGTGCCTTAAAGAATGACTGGCCGCACTTAACTTCAATTCCTTTTGACAGAGTGTCCAATCGAAGACAAATTGACATTTTAATTGGTAGTGACCATCCAGTTTTCCACAAAGTGTTACGAGAAGTTACTGGAAGACAGCCGAAAGACCCTGTAGCACGACAAACCCTGCTTGGGTGGGTTTGCTTCGGTCCCACCTGCAAGAATCCTTCACCTCGTAATACCCATGCCCACATGACCCGTACCTACCACATCGGCCAAACCAACATGGATGAAACAAATGATCTTTTAAGAAAGTTCTGGGAATTGGAAGCCATTGGAATCAATGAGGAGAGCAAACGTGTTATGACCCCTGATGAAATAAGAGCAATGGAAACGGCACAATCAACCCAAATATTGAAGGACGGTAGATATGAGATTGGAATACCATGGAAAGAAGGAGAACCTGACTTTAGGAACAATTTTGATATGGCCTTCTCACGACTGAAGAATCTCGAAACATCACTCCTCAAGAAACCCGAAGTTGCGAATGCCTATTGCGAGATAATTAAAAACTATGTGGATAAAGAGTATGTGAAAAAAGTACCGATGACAGAGGAAGAACAGTGGCTCCTGCCTCACTTTGCAGTGGTAAATAATGCGAAGACCTCGACCAAAGTTAGAATTGTTTTTGATGCTGCAGCCAAACTTGAGGGCAAGAGCTTAAACGACGCCATCTATTCTGGACCCAAGTTACAACGGGAGCTTGTGGATGTCTTGACTCGGTTTCGAAGAGCACCTGTAGCCCTATCAGCTGATATCTCACAAATGTTTTTGCAAGTCGGACTCGCCGAGAAAGACCGTCCTTATCATCGATTTCTATGGCGAGAACTGGACAAGGCCAACGAACCCGAGATCTACGAGTTCATGCGATTGCCCTTTGGTAACACTGCCTCCCCCTTTTGTGCGCAGCATGTCTTGCATTCTCATGCAGAGACTAGTAAAGAGCTTTATCCTGAAGCAGCAGACACTGTAGACAATGCCATGTACGTAGATGACGTGCTGGACTCGTGCGAAACAATACCTGAGGCCAAAGACCTTCGAAGACAAACAACAGAACTTTTGTCTGGAGCCGGGTTCACTCTTAAAAAGTGGATGTCCAACGAAGTTGACGTTATTGAGGATGTTCCTGCTGACGACCGGTTGCCCGGTTTAGAAATTCATAAAGATATCCTCCCCACCGTAAAGACCTTGGGAGTTTCATGGCAGGCAAACCAAGACATCTTCACATTTCAAGTAAAACCTCCACCCTCGTCAGAATTGCCAACGAAAAGAAATGTGCTCAGTAGTATCGCAAGATTGTTTGACCCGTTGCAGTTTTTGGCACCCTTTACTATCCGAGCAAAAATCCTACTACAAAAGATCTGGACCGCTGGTATCGAATGGGATGAACAGCTACCTGAAAGCCTGTGTGTCGAGTGGAAAGATTGGACTAACGAATTAAAAGATCTGTCTTATTTTGAGATACCCCGTCCCCTTCGTCTACCAAAGCCAACCAAGTCTTGGTTGCACACCTTTTCAGATGCCTCCAAAGATGCATACGCCGCCGTGTCCTACCTTGTTTGTGAATACAGCGATCGCCCAACTACATCACGTTTAGTTGCCTCGAAGAGCCGGGTCGCCCCCCTGAAAGCGGTAACGATACCTAGACTTGAGCTCATGGGGGCTGTTCTTGCTAACCGTTTGTCCACGAACATTTTAGGGACACTGAACGTGAATGGAGCGACATATTGGACGGACTCTACGAACGTTTTGTATTGGTTACATAACCAAAGCCGCATCTTCAAGCCATTCGTAGCCAACAGAGTAGCAGAGATCCAACGACACTCTAACCCAGCTGAATGGCGACACATTCCTGGCGAGATTAATCCTGCTGACCTCCCAACCAGAGGGCTTTCAACAACCGAGTTGTGCCATAAAAAGTCTTGGATGGAAGGGCCCGAGTTTTTAACGGACGAGAAAAAGCCTTGGCCGAAAAGAGTACTGAATAATTCGTCAGCAAATACTGTGGCAAAAGAAGAAGAGAAGAAAGTCCAAACTCATATAACGAACGAAACAGGAGATGTTGACAGAAATAACCGCCTTGATCCCAAGCGATATTCGTCCTGGACGCGTCTTGTTCGTGTTACGGCCTGGACTAAACGGTTTATAAAGAACTGCAAATCTCCGTCTGAGTCGCGAAATATGTCGTGTGTTTTACAGAGCTATGAACTCAGTGACGCGCAAACGTTTTGGTTACGAAAAGCCCAACTCGAAAGCTTTCCCGACAAAGGAAAGGACAAAAGTCTACTGAGATTTTCCCCATTGGTGGGCAAAGACGGACTATTGAGAGTCGATGGTCGACTCCGACTTGCTGAAGACTTGCCCTATGATACGAGACATCCAATCATTCTTCCAAAAGACCATCCTGTAACAAGACTAATCGTTGTTCACGCTCATGAGAAACTTGGGCACGGCACCGGAACAGAACATCTGTTGACGGAACTTCGATCGAGATTTTGGATCGTGAAAGGACGATTGACAGTTAGAACTGTGATTCGAAGCTGCCCTGAGTGCCGACGGCGATTCCTCGCAAAACCAGCAGGACAAAAGATGGCTCCTCTCCCAACTTCGAGATTGACTTTACCTTTAAGAGCCTTCGAAAGGATCGGTACAGATTTCGCTGGACCATTCCTAACCAAACAAGGACGAGGAAAATCTCGAATGAAACGGTATCTTTGTCTCTTTACATGTCTAGCGACCCGTGCGGTCCACTTAGAGATGGCTTACTCATTGGACACGGACTCATTCATAAACGCGTTCGTACGAATGACTTCACGGAGGGGGACGCCTACATACGTTCTATCGGATAATGGAACAAATTTTGTCGGAGCAGAAAAGGAGATGTGTCAAAAGATACGCGAATTCGATCAGGAGAAAATAGTAAAGACGACAACTCAACATCGACAAATCGAGTGGAAATTCAACCCGCCTTCCGCCCCTCACTTTGGAGGAGTTTTCGAGAGCATGATTAAGAGTGCGAAGAAGGCCATCAGAGCAATCCTAGGAGAAGCCGAAATTACAGACGAAGAGTTACACACAGCAATTTGTGGCGCAGAAGGACTCCTAAACTCGAGACCGATCACCTATGTCAGCTCAAGTCCTGATGACTTGGTTCCACTTACTCCTAGTCATTTCCTGGTGGGACATTTAGGTGGACAGTTCGCCCCAGAAACCAGTCCAGAAGAAGTATTCAACCCAAAGAAGCGTTGGCGACGTATTCAACAATTGATCACGCAGTTCTGGAGAAGATGGCGTAAAGAGTTCTTACCTAGCCTCAACGTAAGAGGAAAGTGGTTTAATCCTAAGCGAGAGTTAACTGCAGGTGATGTTGTCCTATTAGTCGAGCCGAACGCAAAGTGTGGCGAGTGGCCGCTTGGTCGCGTCATAGAAACATATCGAGGCGGTGATGGACTCATAAGAGTGGTAAAGATTCGAGTTGGAGACAACGAGTATATCCGACCTGTACACAGATTGTGCCCGTTAGAGAGAGACAATGATTAAAAGAACAATGAAGAAGAAACTTCATAAACTTTATAACTTTAACTTTAGTTTTCGAATGTAGTCACATTCGGGAGGGGGATGTTTTGGAATGTTGACATTGTTTAAAATTTAATAAGTCCTACCCCTCCCCCCCAATTAGGATAGGTAAAAAGGACTGGACACGAACGGTCGCGCTGAGAAAAAGAGAGCATGGTCAGGGTTCTTTTGCAATGTTTCTGTTCTAAAAATACAGTGTTTAAAAAGGTTGTTTATTGACTTTAAAACCACGCAAAGAATCCAAAATAGTGAAAAGTAGATCCATTCTTTATTCGACAAGTTCTATACGAGAACAATAATGAATAAGTAATAGAACGAATTAAGTCGTACTATTAATGCCGTAATCATACTCGTGATTAACAAATCAACCTCCTGCTATGCGGTTGGTTGATTTTGTAATCACTCATATGATTATGGCATTAATAGCACTCCTATTCGTTCTATTACCATCATTAATTGTACTGCCGTAAAATTAATGATTTTCCCAAAACAAACAACATGGCAGAAAAGTATTTTAACAAAATACAAATGTGAAATGAAATTGCCCTAGAGGAACAATATGAAAATGTGAACAAAAGCACCAAATGTTGCTTTAACAAAAGAACTAAATGAAAATATGAAAAAAAGCACCAAATTTTGGTTGATAGTCTGGCAGGAATGGGCTTTGGTGAGAGAATATGATGTTGACATTGAGAAGTATCCAATTTTGTCATGCTAATAATAAACAAGTAATCATGCGATGTTGCTCGTACAATTAGGGATTAATAGTACTCGTGATGTTTGGAAATTTGCCAAATTGGACTCGCCCCACGGTTTGTCCAATTTTGGCAAAATTCCCAAACATTACTTGTACTATTCATCCCTAATTGTAATCGCCATCACATGATTACCTATACTAATTTTAGTCTGTTATGAACCTGGCCAATGGCATGTCATTTTACTAAAACCCATTAAGCAGCAATATAACACCAGACAATTTTACTTGTCAGCGGTCAAGGGGGGAAGTGTTGCACATTAATGGGTAAATAATTCCTTACTTTATTTACTTTCTTGATTATCCCTTTACTGCCATGCCATACATCCATTTGGTGAGTTATGCCATTGTATTTATCAGACGTCTCTACAAAATGAAGTGAAAAGATGTGTTATCATAGTCTCAAATGGCCTGGAATGCAGACATACATATTGACTTAAATTAACATGACTTCACTCGATTTAACCATAGTTAATGGAGCGAGATGGTTTGGAAGCTCGTTTACTTCCGGTATTATGTTATGTTATTCAATTTTGTGGTCACATGACTATGAACAACTACGGCGTTGTGACCAATATGGCGACTATTAGCGAAGAAGGAATGCAAACCATGGGAGAAATGTTTGAAAGTGGGGAAGCTTTAGCGGCAGAAAATGAAAAGGCAGAGCTTGATGTGTTAGTTGATGTGATAAACGAACACTTGGACTATTTTAATGAGGACAAGGACTTCGAGAAAGAGGTTGAAGATGCCGTTCAGGAGATTGAAATACCACCAAAACATCTGTGTCCGAATTGTACGAAAATATGCAAATCAAAAGGCGGTCTCACTCGTCATATACGATAAAAGCATACGCTCCTTGAGACAAATGATGGCAAAGATGACAACAGCGCTAGCACTGCAACCAAGCCAACCATTTCAAAAGCGATTGTAGAGGATTTGTTTAAAAAAGCTAACTCTAAAATCAAGGATAATTTATATGCGGAGGAAATCATTATTATTTGTAAGAATCTAAAGCCATCTTCGTTTTGTGTTGACGTTCTCGATAAACTTCATTGACGTTTCATCAAGAAATTGAATCAAGATACTTTGGTAAGTGAACTATACAAACTCTTGTCGAAAGAACCTGAGAAACTTGTCGACAACCAACCAACTGATAAACGGTGGTCAGTCGAGCAAATTAGTGAACAAACTAAAGATATACCTGAAGTGAATGAAAGGGAACATGGTCCCCTTTCTTACTTGATTGGATCAGTCATTTCCAAAATGTTCAGGACGAGCAAATTTAGAAAGAAATCCATGTTAGAAAGTACATTAACAAATAAAGAAGAACTTCAGGATCTGCTGCAATCAATGAAACGACCTGACAATGAATATATTTTATCACTTTCAAGAGGAGGACTGTGGACTCCATGTGACGATTTAATTGCTATTGGGTTTGAAATAGAGAAAACATTTCGATATAAAACTGTTGCTCATGATGTTACAAAACCTATTCCAATTTCAGAATTACGGACTAATATACTAGAAAATCCAAAAGTGAAGAGCTGGAGCAACATCATACAAGAATGCCCTTACTTGATATCTCACGATTGTTTGAAAGTTTGCCTTGAGAACATAACCTTTTTATATTTAAAAATTCGAGCATTCTCCTTTTCGAGAGATTTAATTAATAAATATAGAAAACAAAACAGTTCAAATAGCAAGAAGGCCTTAAGGAAAACTCTACAACAGAAATCAGGGGTCAATCCTGAATAGTTATGACTAGGGATGTGCCAGATACGTTCTGGATTATAGACGGGTAAACTTTGTTTACATGGTTTGAGACAATTTGCCTGCAGGCCTGAAATGCACCAGCAACTTATTTTGTATAGTCTAATTATGCAAACATGTAATAGAACAACTTGTGTGTGTTAAAGCTTTCATGTCCAAGCATCTTGGCAGGCAAAATATATCAAATTGTGTAAACAATGTTTATCCTTCTATTTGGTAAAGTTTTGTCGACCATAAAACTACCTTATTTATAACTAGGTTTTAAAACTGTGTGCAATTAAATTGAAAAAAGTGGAGTCCAAGAATAAACACACAATTGTTATTTCTTTTTTGTTTTTTTTGGCTTTGTTCAGAGGCTCCTCAATGATGTCGTTCCACCTGGATTTTTCTGCACTGCGTTTACCAGTGTTACCAGCTTTGATAGGCACAATGTTGCGTTGGACATCAAGGGCTCGATCATTATATGCAAACTGTGATGCATCGGGATTATCCGACCTTCTGCCCCTTTGCTTCTGATTTCCGAAATATTCTTCCAACGGGTCTTGCTGGAAACGTTCTGTCAAAACGCTATCAACACCTTGGGAAAGGAGGAACTTGACAGTCTCGACAGTTGAATGCACAGTGATTTGAAGGCCTTCATAAGTTTGTTGCGAAATGAACATCTTAGCTTGAGCTGTTGGTAGGAAATTTCCAGGACGAGTCTCGACAGCTTTTTTCCAGTCATGAAAGTACTGGAGGAAAGTGTTTACTAACCATTCAAACCTTTTATCATCCTGTGATCTATATGGTCCCAGGAGTACATTCCGTTTACAGGTAGCCTCATTGTATGCACGAACATTTAAACAGTCGAAAAAGTCATTCATTAATTTACAAAATCTTGCTGTTTCATTTGCTTCTCCTTCTGGATAGCTACAGATAAGGGCTTGGGCCATCCTATTGCTAAGGATCTGTGTTACGGAAAAATAAAACAAAGCAATTAGAAACAAAGTACAGTAATACTGTAATGATCAACATATCAAATTTGATGATTCAGTGAGTGCAGTGGTTTTCATTGGACTCATAGAAATTCCTTAAAAAATACACTGCATATTTACTAACGTTTAGTAACGTTTACTAACATTAAGTTACAATCCTGATTTATACAACTTTATATAATTATATTTCTTGGCAAGCAATGTCATCACGAACTATTTCTTGAGCCACATGCTTTAATGATATATAAAACTGTATGGATTAACATTTGTTGTTTAGAAATATAAACATTGTCAAGTTCATGTTCATGTTTCACTTTGGAATTTGGATTAACAATTTTAATAGATCACTTCCGGTTTTGAAACAAAGATTGTCCAATCACGTTAGCACCTAAAGTTGCTTGTTTTGACAACATGAGAACAAACTGGAGAAAAAATATATCTGTTATTTCTAAAATGGATTGTTGTTTTCGACCCATTTGTGACTTGCCCTTGAAAATATAGACAAGATGTTCATGAGGACAGGAGACATATTAGTTTGAAAACGAATTATTAAGAAGCCAAGGCACTTTCTTTCCTGGTATGATTTAAATCTATACTATTTTAAAAATATAAACAAATCTAGAAATCACCTGGGCAGCAAGATTTACTCTCATCTTTGAATAAGATGTTAACATGATATGTTCAATTGTTAGCTTAGGAAGTTGGTGTAGCCCTAGTTCCAGATCAGAATAATATAAATCTGATATATAGTTCCACAATAAAAATTGATCATTGTTCCACATGCACCTTGATTTCAAACCAGAACCAGAATTAAGCAAGCAGTTTCTAGCCGTTTTTAATAGATGTGGAGCATCAGCAAAAAACCAAATCCACTTTCCTGGGGCAAAGAGGTTTTTTGTTTTATACACAACTTTCTGGTTGTTAAGTTTTTCACCAATATAAATGTGGAGTTGATAAAATTTGCGGTTTGGTGAAGCCCCATCACTGACTGCAGCAATAACATTCAAGTTTGCTTTAAGTTGTAATATAGCAACACCACACCAAAAAAGTGGCATTAATTGATAGGAGACCACATCTCAGGTGAAAAAGTAACCAAGCATAAACTGCAATTTAGTGGTTATTCCCCTGACATAGAAAGCAAGTACATGGGTAGCTGGTTCAATTTTATCAAATGTTGAATAGTTGATATCTGGATCACCGAGATCCACAAATCCAATCAGGTGTCCAGAATGTTTATCAAACACTAAATTACATTTAATCTTCATCTCATCAAACATGACAACAATCCACCTGTCTTTATCCAGGAAACCCTTTGCTCTGGAAATCAATGACTTGATGTTCTCAGGCAAGTACCCTGCTCCTGGTTTAAAGTTGTTTCTGTAGGATCTCAAAGTTCTGGAACTAGGTAACTGCATTGTTCCAGAATCTCTCAATTCTTGGTAAACAATAGGCGACTTTGAATAATAGACAAACAGAACCGTATAAAATGTGGATGCCACCTGTTACCAAAGTTTGATTGTTGATTCAGTGCTTTCTTCTGTTGCTCCCATACAAGTTTCATGTGTGGAGTTGCTTCTAATGATGTGTTAGTGATGATACTTGTAAGTTCTTTCTCCAAACCAGTTTCTATTCTAATACCATGATGTTTGATCTCATTCTCCATTCGTTGTACTCTCCTTTCGAGTTGTGCACACTTCAGCTTGGCTTCTTTCAAATTCACCCTTGTGTCTTTTACAGTTGCAATTAGTTGTTCTTTGGAAAGGCATGACAGTGGTGTTTTACACTTAACAGAAACCACATTGAAGTTACCTACATTGCTGTTTGATTCTTGACTGCACGATTCGCATTGCAATTGTTTACTGTCACTTAGTATGGATGAAACCAGAACACGACATGAAAGCGCACGACAGTATTCAACTGTACGATATTGTGGAGAAGAGTCATTTGGTAACAGGGGAACAAGTTGTGTTTTCACTGATTTGCTTGACTTCAGGGAAAATAGAGTTCCTTTGCAAATACCCAGAGATACAATTTCGTTACAAAGTGTCTTAAAATTACAGCACTGCAAAGAACGCTCGTTTGAAACGTATATGGGATGATCATTGGGCAATGCCCAGCCATAAACAAGAACAGTATAATTAAGAGTAGATTTGACACGTACAGAAAACTTTGCAATCAAGTACTCACTTTCTTTAAACTCAATAACAGTGTTATTTCCTTCTTTGAACCAATTTGAACCTTGAAAATATGGGTACCTTCCAGTTTTTTTTCAAATATGCATCGAACTTATCAAGGGAGGTATATATAATTGTAGTTTCTTGAGAAACATGCCTTGGAGCTGGTTCTTTTCTTGGCGCACTAGTGAAGCTTGTGCTAAGATGATCGAAGCTTTTGACGAGCAGATTTTCTGTTGGAATTGAACCAGTTTGGAGGGACTTCCTTTTGGAAAAGTTTTCAATGTACTCCTCTTTAAAATGACTCTCACAAATATGTATGTTGTTGTTTTCCATCTGTGTCTTCAAGTTCGCATCCAACTGTCTCGTTCGTAATATCGCGTTAATCCAACCGTTTCATGCTTCTTCCTTACGATGAAAAGTAAATTCGCTGTCTAAATTACGAGGAACTGGAATTTGAAACAAACTCACATTTTTGTACCGCCTACTGTGAAAACAATTGTAAAAAGCGCAATTGGGCATTTGTGTATCAAAATTACTACGATATTATATTATCATATTTTGGCGCTTTTTCGATTGTAGTTGTTCGTCGTCACATGACCTTAGAATTTAATCGGTTAACATAATAATTATGTCATCGCAAAATAAGGGAAGCTTCCAAACCATCTCGCTCCATTAACTATGATTTAACCCATCGAGTGGCAGCACTCTCTCCTTGATGAGTAAAATTGTCTGGCATTAGACATATTAAAATTATAAAGTAGGATGCATTGCCAATTAAAGGGTTAAAATGAATGACTTAAAAAAAAAGTTTGAAAGATGCGAAATTAATTTGGGCAATATTTATATATGTGGGTCATCCTTTGTTATGAGCAGAATTAATGCACATAATGGACTTGGCATTACCTGATTAATACTATATAATGAAAACACAACTTACTCATTAAAGCAGCTATTTCTAGGTGACATTGGTGACAATTTTGCCATTGGCTTCTCTTACATCAACGACTTTGACCTGCAAAATCTCCTTGGTATCAGCATCAACAAAACTGTAGGTACAGGATTGGGCCGAATGACCAGGAGAGTCATTTTGCCCATCACCTCCAATAATAATATCATTTCCTTTTCTGGTATTCCATAAACTCGTCTGAAGTGTTTTCCATGTTTTATTGACAGCTGGGGCAATGTATAGTCTCTGATATTGGTAAAATAAACTTTGGCAAATATACTGCAAGTTCATGAACTTGAACATCAGGCCTATCTTGGTATAAGAGTTACCAGATAACAATAAAGAAGATGCAAGAAGAAGATTGCCTGCTCTTAATTTATGGACTGTTGGTTGTGATGTCCACCGTCCACCAAAGTGAATTGCATTGCATCCCCATGAGACAACAAGACAAGTGCCAATATATGTTGTCTTGTACTCCAACGTTTTACTCCAACATTGTACTCCAACATCCAGGATGTTTGCAGGTTTCACCATGAAGTGACTTCAACAATTTCAAATATAGTCGTATATAATTATATGTATATAATTTCAAATATATACATATATACATATATATATACATATATACATATATATATACATATATACATATATACATATATATATATATATGTATATATGTATATATGTATATATGTATATATGTATATATGTATATATGTATATATGATTATTTCCGAAATATATGAATTTATGCACTCACATGTCGTAAAAATCCATAAGGTGCTTCGCAAGATTTTTGTCTTTTGACAATCCTGTAGCCCACAATAAAGACCTCCACCTCTCGAAATTTTCAAAAGTGAGATTCTTGTAGCGTCTCGTAAAGAGTGATAGTTTCGTTTCAACTTTGGTTGTTTTTTTTTCCCGCTTTCAGCATTTTCTGCCATCTTGAGACGCCAAGAGCAAAATATTTGGAAATACAGGTAATTATGTGCACGCGCAATAAGCTGCACTGTATATTTTCAAAACAAACTGATTGTTATTGTGAGCCCACTCTCTGGGCATTAAAAAAATTGGGCTTTAAAAAATTCTATATAATAAAAAAGGGAATCAATATTAAAGATACACTGAAATTATATGCTGTCTTGTGTAGTTGTTTCATATCTGAAATCATATCTTGTGTAGTTGTTTCATATACCGTCGGGTTTTAGAGCTACTATAAAATCAATATTTAAAACAAACTTACCTTTGTTAACGTCGGCACCCTTTTTTTGGCCGATTCTTTCACCCTTTCTTTCTGAGAAGGCTTTTGAAATTTACAAAATCTTGCAAAAATGCAAGCAAAAATGAAATATATTTGCAAGAAATTTGTCAATCTTCAAATCAAGAAATGTTTGCTATTTCGCTGTTGTCATGCAGTATTGCAGTCGTTATAATGCAAACTTTAAATTGGACCAATCAGTGTCCGCTATTCATGACAGTCCGCCATATTTTTGAGATCAGTGAGGATGACCACCCATCGTTGGTCACCCACACCCGCGATTATTGATGAACTTTAGACTCCACTAATGCTTTTGTTTCCCCGGGTGTAAATAGCCAGGGGGGATTAGTACTCTTGCACGACGCTTCACGCCGTTGGCTCAGGGACAATGTATTTTTACACAAAACACCACTATATGTGCATTGAATTAGGATTTACATCAACGTTGTAATTGATTATACTATATTAGCCAAGTGAACATTATTTTAATACTTTGTGTGACGACTGTGACCTCCTTTACTGTACTTGTGGGATCATGTTTCACTTTCTCTCATTTCAATTGATTCCATAAATTCTCAATAGGATTTAGATCCTGAGATTGAGGTGGAAAATCCATAACAACCAGATTGCCTTTCTCTTGTTTCCTTCTTAAATAATTTTTCACACACGTGAGAAGTGTGTTTCAGATCATTAATATCCTGTTACAACACACATTCCCTTTCACACAACCTTAAGCTAGAAGGTAGGGCTTGTCTTTGAAGTACTATTTAAAAAAATGAGCAGGAGTATTTATTAGGTTTAAAACCATGAGCGTGCAGCGCGAGTGGGTTTAGACCTAATAAAACACGACCTGCGAGTTTTTTAAATGGCTTCAAAAACGTTTGCATAACAAATAAAATCTGAATATGAAAAATCTTTATATAAAAATCTTTATATAGTTTGCATAACAATCGTCTTTTGTATTATTGCATAATAAAGTGTTCTTTAGCTGGTATAAAGACGTATGCATGTGACTAATTTCTTACTCAAGATTGGATTATTGCTTCATGAATTATTAATGAGTTTTTGAAGGATGGAGTGATATTTTTGTTTTGTAAAAAAAATTTAATAATTAGGGAGCAAGAGAAGGGTGAACTGGTTGTTACGGATTTCCTCCTGAACCCCCAGACCTAAATCCTATTGAGATTTTAAGGGAACATTTGAAACAAGAGAGAGTCAAACATAATCCCACCACTGATCTGAACTAAGACTGGATAACGCATCTATAGTATACACAAAAGTGAAGCCGGAAGTCACCGGCCGCCACCCGATTCTGGGGCCCCACTTTGGTATAGATTTGTATTACAGACGGTAGTTTTTCGCGTTTTTTACCTTTGCTACGTTTCCAACCGGGCCAATTTTACAATCACAAAGATAGAAGCATACAAGAAGAATTTTGAGCAAAAAATTTGGAGTATTATGGCTTTATAACGCCGCAAAACGGGATTTACAACTTTGAAGTAGTTGAGAGCCTCGGACTTTGTTTATCAACACAAGCTTGTTTTGCGACTTTCATACAAAATAAACTAAAAATATACAAGAATTACTGTTACTGGACGAATATTCTCATGAAATTTGAAGAAATGAAGCAGCTAGATTGTGAACAAAAGCGTGCTGAGGTTAGTTTTAAAATATTGCTTTTATAATTATATATAGAATTAATTAAGGAACAGTTTAATGTCAATTTTGACTTGTCGAGACGTTTTATATGTTTTAAAGTAGGAAGACAAGTGATAATCAAATAGTTTTAAATCCAAATTAACAATGACTCAATACGATGTGTTGTAAATGTTAATTGTTATTGATTGTTAAAGAGAACAAGTTTGTTTAATTTCTTTCGTATTATGTTTCCACAGGCATCTTGTGTAGCTTCTTTGCCAAGATGATATAACCTGTTATAAGCTGTTATAATAGAATAGGTTTTGTTTGTGGAAACACCACGTAAATTTATTACTGCAAAGCTTTCGATCCGTAAGCCCGGATCTTCATCAGTGCTGCAGTAATAAATTTACGTGGTGTTTCCACAAACAAAACCTATTATATTTTATCACCATGCAAACATACAAAGAACTTGTTATAATAGACTTGTAAAATCAAAAACTTCGTTAGCGGTTTGACGTTTGCCCTAAACGTCAAGCTAAAACTCTCTATTAAAGAAAATGAACGTTCGACCTCGGCGGTTGATGGACGGTATCAGCGCCTCCGTCATCAATCTCGTTATTTCAGGGTGTCTTTCAGCTGCTTCATCATTCATCCAAACTTTTAACAACGTTTCGGAAGTGAAAATTTGATTATTCTGCAAATCTTTCACATCCTTCTCTAATTTGGAAATTCTTTGTTTCTTTTTGGCAATTTTGTTCTTACTCAAAATAGGCATTTGTTGCTTGAGTATCTCGGTTTCTCTCAAAAGCTCTTGCTCCTTCACATTCAACAGCAAATTTTGATTCCCACTTTAACTTCGTCTTGAACGCGAATTCGTTAAATGTTTTAAATTGCTCTTGTAGAGCAATACTATCAACAAGTGGTGGAAAACTTCTCCCGTCAGTGGAGATATGTGGTGTGCCATAGAAGTTTGCAAGAGCTGCTAACTCATCAGTGCCATAAGCTGCCAATTCACTTGAATTTTCAGGTAAATTTCCTGGATCAAAAATGGAAAATCCTTCCAGATGTTCCGGAACATCAAATGCGTTGTTGATCTCTAATGTCAAGTCACGAATTACCGGCTGAATGAACTTGACCTTAAAGTTTTCTGTGTCAAATTCAGCATATTGCCTTGTTTTATACCGTGCACCAGCTGATTGAGAGGCGACATCTAAGAACGTAACTAGACGGGCAAAATAGGAGCTGGGTGGTAAGGTTGGATCATCACTTTTTCGTGTCAGTGTTTCCATTAATTTCCGAATTTCTCTAGGTATGTCATACCAGTTAAGACGCGCAGTCTGCATAACGGTTTGCAGCGCGTTTGTGCACTTTATAATGTCAGCGAGAAAGCACGTGGTTGCTATCATTTGTGGATCGATTAAATCATCCCTGAGACCCCTAAAAGATAAATGTATCACTATGAGGCAAAAAGTACTATATAAGACCGCGGCGAAGTTAGTCATAGATTAATTTAAAATTATGGCTAAATCTTTACTTAAGTTTTCAAATGTTTTTCAAAAGTTCAAGAAGCAATGGAAGATTTAAGACCAAGTAAATAACTAAGCCAGCCTGAATGTTATTTTAATCTCAAACTTTGCTGGTAACTTGAACTTCGTACATGATTGAATTAAAGGGTTATTGAATATCGACAAACTTATTACCTCACAGCTGGTTCCTGCTTTCTTATATAAATAGCTTCCAATGCTGCGATCAACGGCTCAAAGCGTTCCAATACGTGTTCTGCAGCTTTCCCATGACTTAGCCATCACGTCACTACGGCTTTGATAAGTTTTAGCGATTTCATGCTGTAAGCTTGTTGCACTTCTTCAAATATTGCCGATTTGACATTGCTATGCTTAACTCAATTCGATCCGCCAATATTAATTTCCGACGTATATGACGGGAAGATTAAATATTAAAGAACTTCGCGAGTATTTGCAGTAGACATACGAAAATACCACCAAAAAATTCCGCTTGATCGATACTATATATTCAGAAATATTCATATAATTTTATTGTTTCTCGCTCAATTTCAAGGGAATTTCTTACCTTGAAATGATCAATGCGGTGAAATTTATGCAAATGACACATCATCAATTTTGCTGTTGCATTTTGAATGTCCCGCCTGATTCAAATGCTCGTCTTTTTGCTTCTTTTCAACGTATAATAATAACAAATATACCAAAAGAATCGCCATCTTCCATTCTATAGCTCGGAGCAGTCTCGGGAAATTGCAAAATAATCTAAGCCTATTATGGCAATTCTCGTGATCGGAAAGTGTTCGGCCAACTTCGGACGCCAAATTCTTGGTAAAGCATTACAGTTTCCTGGTAAAAGACTGCAGGAATCACTTCCGGAGTGTTTGTTTACCCTAGATACGGATTTTGATTGGCTTAGGCAGAAAAACAAATCTTTTAGAGCAATTTTCCTGATTATCGCGCACAGGAACGCACGAGCGTTGAAATGTATTGTGTTGTAGTTTTGCTTGAATCGCATTCTGAAGACGTTTTTGGCTTTATTTTGCAAACTGATAGTGCTAGTAATGATGGAATGTCTTCGTATGAAGACAAGTATCTCAACCTGGCATTGGGAGTCGTGTCTGGAGTTTCAAGGCAAGTATTTGTATCATTTCTAGACAATTTCTATTTCAATGTTTTGCCGTTGCCATGGCGTTGTAAATTTATTTGTATTTAGTATGGCTTCACTAGTACGACCAAGTATGTCCTCATATCGCTTTTTTGTGTTGAAATAATCGTTTCATACTGAAATTGACAAATATAAATGGTATTTATTTATATTGTTGATGAAAATTTATGGTGTTTTAGGCATAAAAATCTCTGATTCCTAGGCGAAGTAAAATGAGCCTTGAGCACATGTTTGGTTGTTTGTTACATACATAATAGCCAAGTATTCATACTTATATCTTACTAGTTGGCTCTTATTATAATTTTAAGTGGCACCATGTCTATAAAAGTTTTTATTCGCACTGATGAATATATTTATCCTGTTCCTATCTGCTGTTCCTATCTGCTGTTCCTGTTTCATAGCCTCAGGGAAGTAGAGTTCTGATGAGTCATGAGAACCCCACTCACCAACCCAAAGGGAAGGTAGGGGGATGAGTAGAGGTAGAGGGAAGCCCAGCCATTAGGACCTAAGGTTTCGAAAGCTCCCTGTCTAGCATCCCCACTAGGCCCCATAGTACATGACGGATATGATGATCCTGACGCCAGGAATGTTCTCCCAGATTTTGCTCCTCACTGACATGTCCGGGATCCATTTCGATCAACTGTGAGCTTGAGTTCATTTGGCTCAATGAACTGTGAGCTTGAGTTCATTCGACTCTTTTTTACTAAGGGAATGCTTCAGGAGGTAGTTTCCTGGCCATACCAATACATATGCCCACATACAAATAACTCAAAAGTTATCCCCATATACTAATAAAAAAGGGTCTTGCAGTCCACCAACCTTGAGAGGTTGATTGCCTTTTAGTATAATATGCAGGTTTGCTCAAGGTCTACAGTGAGATTGAAAATTATTGGAGTGTAAAAACCTTATATCATGGTCTGTGGGCAATAGACATAATTTCTCGGGTTAGGTACAAAGCGCTTATGGCGTTTGTGAATATGGTAGATCCTGTACTAAAGACTACAGCAATAAACTGCATCAACAACTGTACCAGCCGTCACAGAATATTGTTGTTGCAGACAAACACACTGTCAAATCAAGAAATAGGTTGGGGGTTAGGCAGTTCATGAAAGCTAGATGACCTACTATGTGGGGAATAAATCTGTGGGTTGCTGCAGACAATCCTAATGGTTATATTGCGACTTTGAAATTTATACAGGAAGAAGTCCAGATATTCATCGCAACAGATTTGGGTATGACGTGGTGATCTGATACCAGTTTGGTTACAGTCTTAGGTCTTTTGTAGTACAATACAAAGGAAATATTTTCACCACATAATCCAATTATGTGCTTTGGCAAACATTACTGCTTTAGCAAACATTACTGCATTGGAAAACATCACTTTTTTATAACTACTAATTATGATGATGCCAGCCCAACAACACTTGGTCATGCTATTTGCAAATATTTTCATGTTCTAGATTGTGAAAACAATCAATTTCTAAACAAATGAGTAGTGATTATTTCAAATTTGAATAGCATGACCAAATCTTGAGGCTGGCTGTGCCACTAATAACTAAAGTCAATGGTGTAATGATTATCTAAGAATGTATGTAGTAATTGTAGAAATAAAGACATTTTGCTAATCATGATTTGAGTGTTCTTTTGTGGGTATCACAGACTTATTTTGGTGCCATAATATCTTTGGAGAGTAAGAAATATTGGAAATTTGTATTGATAACATGTTGCAGCAATAAAAAAGGACCTTTGATAAAGGTATTTGTTTCATGTGAGCACAAAATGTAAATTTTACTCCACTACCTAGTTTATATAAAAATTCAATAAAAATATTTCTATTTATGCTACATGCATGAAACTTCGGGTAGTTGTAGATCATAACCGTGTCTTTCAGTCATACTCATAAAATTTTTTGACATATTTGAAATTTGAACCGCTAAATACATTTATGCATAATTGCAACATTTTTTTATATCATAATTTATGCAAATTTATGCGAGTAAATCGTTAACCAAGCTCCGCATGGAATTGAAATTGGTATCGTTGGAAAGCAGAAGTCCTCCTCTTTCGAACGATGCAATTTCTGTTTCCGTGCGATGTATAGTTTGAGAGATATAAGCGTTTGAAACAACACTACTCGAAATGGCTACTTTTCAACCGGATGAGAATGAGTTAAGCAACAAGAATAAATTGAGTAACAAACTGTCAAACTTGGTAAAATCTATATATTGTAGGATGAGATGGGCAAAACATAGTGCCAGTCTATGGTTTCTGCAGTGAATATACACTAAGTGGCTGGAACTTCTTTCAAAATATGCTTTGACGTCATTCATTATATGTACTTGACATTACAGAACATCCATCCATACCAGAGAATTTTGTTTTCGCTATGTCCAAGCCTTCATTGGTCATGTAATCCGTAATTTTCGTGAAAATGGACTCCGCATCACATCTAGACAGGTAAAGAAGGGCTAGAAATTTGTTCTTAATTTCACCACTCTCTACAACACGAGCAATTAAGGAAAGTTTGGATCGATTGTTCTCATCTGTGGCTTCATCAAGGAGAAGCGTAAAGTCTTCTTCTATTTTCATGTCTGTAATCGTTTCCTCTTTCATATAACTCCCTATTTCTTTCACAAATAATGCTGCAGTGTTAGGCGAGAGATATGTTGCATTTTTGTGATCTTCTACAAGCTTTAAGTACTCTGCTAAAATTTTCTCCTCCAGTTCTTCTCCAATAAACCTCACAAAGTCTTCGAAATTCGAAGTATGCGCCCAATGTTTTTTTACCATAAAAATTATTGTTTTCAGTATCTTGACTATGGCCGCTTTAGTAATCTCACTGCATTGGACGGCTTTCTTTTCTTGCTTATCGTGAAGAGCCTGAAGTGTATATTGGGATTTGTAATCTAGGATTAAATTTGAAAAACTGTTAAACCGTGTCTGACTTCATGGGTACAGGACAGGCCATGGATTGGCGATATTATGCATGTTACCTTCATACTGTGCCACAGCTTTTAAATGTTTCATTTTCGACATTTGGTGCTTCGTAAGGTATCTTCTCGGGTGATCTGTCAAAGACTTCACAGCTCGCTTTCCAAAAGAGTATTTAGAGCTTCCGGGAATCTGTGGTGGTGGGAACATCTCGCATACGTTGCATTTATAACCTTCCTCGGTGACATTATAGTATAACCATGGAAACTCCTTCACATATTTTTCCAAAGAGAACTTTCTATAATCGGGTATTGTAATTCGTCCATCAATTATCCTAAATAAAGCAATGTTTTATTTTGACAATTTATTTCCTAATCTTTCCCGTGCTGCCAAGGCAAGTTTCTAAGTAAGTTTTAATACCCTGAGTCGGACTTGTTCATATCAACATTAGCCACGTCATCAGAATCACATTCAGAACTAGAGGAATCATTTTCAGAACTGCATTCGGAATTGGAAGCTGTAAGGTAAAGAAAGAGCAACAGTGTCTTTCTTTTGGAAGTCCTCAAACTGAACATAGTTTCATAGACAGTATTCAAACATCTTACATTCGGACGATTCATTAGATTCTTCACTTTTTTTGTCTTTATCAAATCCAGACTCGCCAGTTATTTCCCCCTGAGTCTCATTGTCACTCATAGTATTTTCGATTGCAAAATTTGCAATAAACCCGATGAACTTTTAAAAACATTAATTTTATTTCCAATAATATAATATGTTGTCAGTTGTTCGTTTTTGTTATCATGCAAATAAGCTAACTAAAACAAACCGTAACGTACGTTGAAGTAAAACACTTCCAGATTCACCTTTGGATGTATTAACGTTAACTTGCTCGGCACAGCTACCTTCTTCAATTGTTGCTGAAGGAAAACCGCGCATTAAAAAAAAATTCTTATAACATTTTGTGCATGTCAATTACTGACAAGGCCAAAACCGAAACCACTCAACTAAACTCACGTCTGTTTTCTCATCAAATTTGATGAAAAACACTGATAAAAATAAATATTGATTGAAAACTAATTAAAAAACAATGTAAAGAGTCTGTCATTATTGACATTGCGTGAAAACTACAATACTGTCTGAGACTTACAACAGCTACTTTGTGGGAGTGGTGTTACACTATTATCATTCAAAATTTCATTATTCTTCGCTAAGTAATAAGAGAAATTAGTTATAAATTCATTCATTTTGCTAACAATACTATAGCTATAGTAAGTTTACTTCACAAAAATCTTCACTCATGGGCGGGTCATGCAAATAATAAACTGAACCAAAAGAAAAAATACTGTAAACCTTCATTCTGTTTCTTTTTAAGTAAATCAAAATAAGTCTGCTTTTTGGCTTGACACGTTTCTTTTTTTTTTCTTCTTCCCCCAACGCCGGCTCGACTTGTTGAGTACCTCTTTTTTTCTGATGGATAATTGTGCGATTTTTCAGCTTGCTTTGATTTCCCCATTGCCTCAAACATAAAACGTTTTCTATTGTCTAGTCTACACCATGTCCAGGTGTTTAATTAGTTGCCCAACTAGTGGCCTGAAACTTCCAGTGAATAACTTATAAGATCAAACATTCGAACGAAAAAAACTACTTGAAAAAATTATGTTTTTAATTTAAAACTATTAATATATTTCATAAACTATCGCTATTCACTTACTTGAAACAAAATGTATTTGTCGTCCTTTAAAAAAAAAGCATCGAATGACATGTGCACACCATGCGACCGCGGTTTTTGTAATCATTTAGGTAATACGTCGTGTTATATGATCCCAGAAGGATCATAAGCAGAAAAAGCGTTTATTCAGGATCACTCTGGATAAATCTTGTTAACAATGGATCAGACGCAATGCAATACAGCAGGGACGCTAAGGGACACTATAAACTGATTAAAGATGGTGAATGGGTAGTTTTCCTTGTGTTGTGAAATTATTTCCAGCCATTTTTTTCTTAATTCTTGGGTTTCCAACTGAAAAATAATATCCATCTGTGACCAATTTAACTCAAACAACTTCATTTTAACTGCGCTGAACCGTTTTGGTGAGAAGATTGAGTTTCAAAACTCAATTGAAGATTGAGTTTTTGGGGCCGTTTAACAGTACTAAAAAGTCCCTGAAAAAACCCTGGAAGTGGTGACTTGTAACCTTTTGCAAGTGGATTCCTGGAATTAAGGATGTCAAACAGGCGGTCAAAATGCATAAAAACTTCACTGTTGCTTCACTACTTTGAAATTGTGGGAGTTCCAATTCGTTGGCACAGTACTCAATAGCATCAGCGACACTTGAACTAAAAGCTTGTGCAGCCAAGTTGACCTTCATCTTTTACTGCTTCCACTTGATGTGAGCCATCTTCAATTTGTTACTAATATCCCTCCTTCTCCAGTGTATTCCGCACCAACTTTAACATGTGACAGACATCAAGCAGGACATAAATTTTTTCCTTCTTATCCTAAGGGTGTGGGAAATATGGAACCATGTTAGATGCTTTTACATTCCCATAACAGATACTCCTTCTACCTACTTGACATTTTATTAATATGTTAACATTTTATTATGTGCACAATTTACTGATCTTTACTGCAGGAACTGCCCATAGAAAATTTTAAAAACTTTAATGTCCTGATGGAAAGCCTTGATGTATGTATACACTGATGTGCCCTACTTTGTTTTTTAACTCTGTCTAATGCCAGATGATTTTGCTTGTCAAGCCAGGGAGGAGTGCTGCCATTTAAAACTTGTGGTTCTTCATCATCGGAAGACAAGTCTGATTCTGACAAATCTGCTTCTGGAGCAGATTCAGTACCAGAAGCCAAGCTTGGTTCAGGAGAAGAAACTTCTGAATAGTCAGGCTCCTCTTCAATGTCCATTTCTTCATCACTGCTTACAAAGGTTTTGTCTTCTAATTTCTCCTTCATAGAAGCTACTTTGGCCATACTCTCATCTATACTCTCTGTAGTAGAAGATGCTAACTATAGTATAGAGCACTAATATAACATTACACTGTGAAAGACTGTGCACATCAGTGATAGAATAATGCACCCCCTGAAAAACGTCACCCCTAGAACTATTTGTGTCTAGTTCAATGATAATTGTTGTGCTTCTACCCATGAAAATTGTTGTGCTTTTGATGTTGAGGTATTCTCACCTTTTTGTTTTTGTATTGCAGCCTCCTTGTCTTGGAGTTTTAGTTTAAGATCAATAATCTTATTGCAGAGTTGGTGGTTTTGGCTTTTCAATTTCTTACAACCTAAACACTCTGGTGTTTTGGCAGGAAGCCTCTTCAGTCTAGAAAGTAATAATTGAAAAAATTGTGATATATTTTCAGCAAACATTTCTAATGGTAAATTTGCAAATTTGAATAGTTCAACTTAGAGATAAAGGTTGTTGGATGGAATAAAGGCTGTTAGATGTCACCGTTTGATGATCAACCAAGCCAGGCTCCAACATGAACTAGTCAGTTGTGGATGTTTTTGATGTACTAGCTGTGCCTTCGGCCTCACTGGTTTTGGCAACATTTTCTTTTAGTAGTTCTCTTACAGCCAATCTAAACGAGAAGGGCATGTTTGTGAGTTGACTATACAGAGCATGTGAATGAATAAAGCGGAGTGAATAAAGAATATTGTACTTACACGGTGATGCTTTTTCGTTGAACTTGGATGAGTCGGATCAACACCATCTTGGCTTTGGCCATGTTTGTCATAATTGCTGGGTTCAGGAGTCTTATGAATCGAAGAAACAGCACCTTTTTGTAATACTGATCGACTAACGAAATCCGTTCCAGGTATAGTCACAAATGGACTTTGAAAATCTTCGGTTTGAAAGTGCTGTGAACAGAGCCGGAAGTTTGCTGTTGGCGACCATTTTGCACATTTTGTCCGCACAAATGCAACCCAAAGTCGTTGTCTTTTTTTCTCTAAATCGTTATCTTCGGGAAATTTATGAAGACCGATATTTTGTGAAGGGTCAGGAACATTAGAACAACCACCATCTACACATCTATTAGGCATACTCTTTTATAAAACTCAAAGAAATTTGTGTGTAAAGCTAGTAGTGGAATAGATGTAAATACAAATTGCAAATGCGAGTCCCTCATGCCACATCACTAGGCCCAATCTCTTCGTGTATCACTTCACACGGCCAGAAAGCTAGCTTAGATATTTAAAAAATGCACTATTTCCACACCGTTTTGACTGAGAAAAAGCATAAAAAGGGTAAAAATGGATTTATTTCCGAAAAATATCATTACTAGTATGCTACACTTTTCAATTGTAAAATTAAAAAAATTGGGTGATAGGCACTTTAAAACTAGTCTTCAATTATTGCCACAATTTATCACCCATAACGTTCCAACATATATTCACAAAGAGAGAACAAGTGTATAACTTTAGAAAAACAAATTGTTTGAAAATCTCAAAGTTTAAAACAGACTTCATGAAAAAATCTGTCGGGTATCAAGGTGCAATCCTTTGGAACTCTCTGGAAAATGGTGATAGATCTTTAGATAGTTATATTGCATTGAAAAACAATTTTATTTAGAAACTCTAGATTACTAAAAATTTAACTTATTTTATTAACTATTATTTAATTGGTATACTCACGACCACTTCAGCTATGCTGTACTTAATATCGTGTTTAAATAAAAGCTTATTATTATTATTATTATTACTAGGTTACCTATAGGTAGTGAATGCTGCCTTTTCTTGCACCTTGTATATCTACAAACGCCGGCTCAAGTCATGAGGTAATCGGGTTGCACAACAGCCTTTGAAGATGAACTACTCACCTAAAGAATTTTTAAACACCAAAGAATTTTTAATATGTAAATTGTTCTCTTTATTTGGGTTGAAGTTTTTGGTGAATACTGAAGTCCACAAAGACGAAGCATGCACATGCTCGCCAGCTGTTTTATTCTGAATGCATGTGATCATGATAGCAAGTTGTTGTGGCTTTCCAATCAAAACGTCCCCAACTCAAGTCAAAACGTCCCCAGGTCAAAACGTCCCCAACTCAAAACATCCCCAGGTCAAAACGTCCCCAACTCATGTCAAAATATCCCAAATAAAGTCAAATCTGTTGGCTAAATGTCAGATATTCTGTCAGTTTTAGAGTAATTTTAAACTATTTTCACATATAATATTTTTGGATTTCTTCTGATCTGATGAAGGAACTAAATCAACCATGGTTTGATATATTCAACCAGGGTCAGATAGTTATGATTTTATTAGGTGAATATGTTATTTAGTGGCTAAATTTCCTTGCTAAATTTCATATATTAGTGATTTGGTGAGTGTATGCATGCATCATGACAGTTAGCTTAAATTTACTAACACTAAAATATTCTGAAATCTTGGCACTATTACAGTTATTTGCAAACAAGTTGCCAAATAAAGCAATTAATTCAGAGTTGCATACTCCCATGTCGTAACTCTATGTCTATGAACATGGTTATTCTTTTATAATTTAGTTGCAGTTCAATTTATTTGAACACAAGAGTTAGGGCTTTTGGCCTTGGGGACGTTTTGGCCTGGGGACGTTTTGACTGTGCAGATTCGGGGACATTTTAACCTGGGGACGTTTTGACTGCATACCTATATTTGGGATATTGTTTATTTTTTGTCCTTCCAAAGAAGCGACTAGACCCAGTCCTCTGCTCGATTGGGAAATGGATGATTGTGAATTGTTCACATCGAACTTGAAAACTTGAGCTGATGGTTTGAAATTGTCAAACTTCGTCCTGAAATAGTGGAAAATTGGCAACGTTTGGCTAAGAGTTGTAACTGTACTAAGATCAATTAAACTGAAGTAGGTTCTTAAAGTTTTATTACAGGAAAATGAACAAATAAGTGTGTTATTTTAACTCTTGAACAACCAGTGCTCAGTGTATTGCAACATAAACAAAGTTATGGCAGAACATAACATAACATAACATAACAAATCTAAAGAACTGAAGTGTCAATATCACAATGAAGTGTGTCAATATGACAATGAAATGTGTCAATATGACAATGAAGTGTCAATATCAAAATGTCAATATAATATGACAAGTTTGTTCTGTTAGTTTGAGAGCTATTCTTTCTTTGAGATTGCAACCACATTTTTCTTTCCATTGTAGAATACAGTTGCTTTGACTGAAAGAACTAATTCCATTAAGACGTCATCATTCAAGGAAGTAAACTCTTGATTCATGTCGTTTTGTTGCTTATACAGCCTGTGGAGTTGGCGTAGTTTATCGTCAAAAGCAACACTAGGACCTTTGGCAAGTAGTACACTTGCAAAAAACCGTTCCTTGCATTTGGACTCCAGTTGTGTCAATCCACACTTGCTGCATGTGACAATGTTTTTTCCAGCCACAAGAGCGACCTTGCTTTGGCATTTGTTACAAGAAAGGAATCTTTTCAAGGATTGGACTCCCTCAGCAGGGCAATACACTTCGATTAGTGTGTTGTCGACATTTATTTAATCTTTTCTTTCAACTATGTTGGTAACTTGCTCGATGATGGACTTCTTGCTTAAACTTAGATATTTGGACTGGTCATATTCACGAACCATCACATTGGAAAGTTTGTAGGAAGAACCAGAAGTGACACGGTCTATATCCTTTTCCCATAACACAAGTCTCACTGTTCCTGTGTTATCTGTAAATAGAGCATCTTGCTTCTGGAGGAGCTTTCCCTTTGTTAGGATTGTTTTGATAGTGCCCTGGAATGATATTCTGCCATTAACATTCACTTGCATATTCGTTTCTCCAGCAACTACAGATGTTACATTTGTTAAACCCGGTTTTATATCGTCCTGGCATGGCTGTTCTTGAATGTCGAAGTTGACATCGACAGCGTTTGGTTCCTCCAATCTTCTCCATTTGTTTAGATGGATTTCGTCTTCTGCTGTCCAATTATTCCTCTTCAATTGATACTTAGAAAGTTTAACAGGTGAAGAGGATTCATATCTGGCCTTATATTTGTTATGTTTTTCTGGGGAAGAACACAGTTCTGTATGTCTTATCTTCAATTTGTAGCTTCATTTCAAAATAGAGATTATCCCATCAGCATCAAGGGAGTATCTAAAAATGACGAAAAAGAATTTACATATATGCTGAATTAGTGCACCTAAAAACGGTAACCATGTTAGTATCCAGCATGTAAGGGCTTGTGCCTGTTAGAAGAAGTTCCTTAGTTTACATAATAAACCAGACAAGACCTTACCGTTTATTATGTGTTTCCCCAATGGTCTCATTTTCATGTTTTGGCAAGGCTGGTGCCACCACGTTTTGTGCATGGATACGTTTTTCTTTGATCTTGGGGCCAATCACAAGCTTATCCATGTTTTTTTTTTACTCAAAACACGAAGAAATATAACCAGCATGAAAACGTGACTATTGGGGCAAAGCAATAAACCGCAAGGTCTATTAACATCGGTGTTGACAGGTCTATGAGCCTGCCCAACATCATTTAAAAGACGCAGCTCTAATTCTGGGATGCTTATGTGGGGGTGATTAGGTATTTTAAGGTATGCCCTTACCTTCAGTGTTGATTTCTTGTTTTTTAACATCATCTTGTGAAGAGGCCATCTTTCTTTCTGGAACAATATAGAAAAAGTGTAAATAAGGGAAAATAATTTAGAAATTATGTATTGATCAATTCGAAACTTCACCATCACCCCCCCGGGCCGACCCCGGGGATTTGAACTTTTTGAAATTTGACTGATCAAATTCTCCACCCCCTGTGCAAAAAATGTCTTCAAATGCCCCACTGTAACAAGAAATTAAGCGTTCAAATGCCCCACCTTCATATGAAAATTATGAAACAGTAAACACGAAAAAGTACAAAATATTGGAGTTTGGATACTTTGTGGAAATTTAACAGTTTTACACAATTATGTAGTACATATCTTCAACTGAAGCACATAGATTTTCCATGCCCGTTTCTTTGAGCCAGTTTTTCCCAAAATTGAGGCTGTTTCCCTCGAAATCTGAGAAAACTGTATTTGCCGCCAATGCGAAGTATTTTCTGTGCATGCAGGAAGCACGCGAAAACGGGCAAAATTTTAAGACTTGCGGTTCAAATTCCCCACCCTGTTATCAAATGCCCCAACACATGGAAGACCTATAACGTCAAATTCCCTACTCCCTGGAGAAGACTTGAAGTCAAATTCCCGGGGTATGCCCGGGGGGGTGATGGTGAAGTTTCGAATTGATCGATACATTATATTAATATTCGCCTTGGCAATATAAATTGAAACACTTAAATTTGTACAAAAGTTAATCAGGATACTATCAATAATTTCGTTTTGATTGACTATTAAAAGTGTAATTTAGTTTTATTTGCAAGATCTTGTAATTAATCTTTTTTCTTCAGCCATCCTTGTATTTAAGATTTTTTGATTTTTTAATAGAACTGAGTCGATCAAAAGTCACTGGCTCTATTATGACAGAAGAAATATTTTGAACACGACTTAAAAATGTTTAGCTATTCGCAATGAATGATTAAGTTTCTTAATATTCTTATCTATACTGGGGGAATTAAAATATTGTTTATATAACCGGGTTTTTTTCTTAATTGATTTTATAAGACCTGTTGAAAGCCATGGCTTTCTAATACCAGATCTCCTTTTTCTTGGCTTTTTATGAGGAAAACAATATTATAAACGTTGGTAAATTCATTCAAAAAGCCAGAATTAGAAGAAAGTAATAATAAGAAAGACATATAATACAAGAAAGACACCTATGAAATTTAGCTACGTTTTTTGCACTTTTGTCACGATAGATATATGATGCTTCATCCTTTTCCTCAATCTTCTCATAAGACATAGTAAAAATAGGCATGTAGAGAATAGCGAGGTTCGATCGAGTAAGTAAGAGAAACTGTCTTCGTTTTATGGTTATATATTTAAAGCTAAAAAGGTTGAGGAAAACTACATGTGTTCGTACTATCTAAACGTGTTCGTGTTAGACATCTCAATCTCTGTTCGTGTTCGTAGCTGATGCAATCTACATGTCTAATTACATAATGTCAACTGGACTATTTACATTAACTGGACTGCTTAATTCACGACATCCTCCGGGGGCGCATTTAACACTTTCGCCCAATTTGAAATCTGTCGTAATGCGTTTTTAGCTGCTGCTCTAATGGGTCTTTCCATTCGATCTTCTGGAGTGTTTTCGTTGTGGATTATAGATTCTTTCGTTTCAACTGGATTGTCTGCTCTAGTCGTTGCACGTACTTCGAGAGGATACAATTTGGCGATTGGTCGGTTTGTTTTGCCGGTTGCTGTGCGTATGTGAGCTGCTCGTATTTGACCGTCTTCACCTTCAATAAGGTTTTCAATCACTGCTAGTTTCCAATTTATCCTTGGCTTGTCATCGTGGACTAAGACTACATCTCCTATGTTGATTATTTGCTTGTTATTTCCAGTTGTCCTGCGAAACTCGCGTAAAGATGTCAAGTACTCGGTTCTCCAGCGATTTCTAAAATGTTGAAGGAGAAGTGCCTGCCTTCGGGCTCGTTTTGTCACTTCGGTAAGATTTCCATAATCAGGGTCATGGATGTCTTCATCGTCAACCTTTTCGTGAGGTAGTGATGTAATGCGACGTCCATTAAGCAAGTGGGAGGGTGTAAGAGCTTCTTCGTCATCAATATCTGCAGATACATAGGTGAGAGGTCGATCATTCAGTATGGCTTCTATTTCCACAATTATCGTTTGTAATTCGGATAAGGTGACTTGTGCTCGTCCGAGGACTTTCTTAAGCGCATTCTTAGTTAATCCGATGAGCCTTTCCCAGAAACCTCCGTACCACGGGGCACGTTTAGGAATGAAGAACCAATCACAACCGCGACGACTCAATATTTCTTTCAGAGATACGGAGTCTAGGAGACGCTTTAACTCCTCTGCGGCCGACAAATATGTAGTTGCATTGTCTGATACCATCTTTCGAGGTAGCGATCTACGGCTGACGAATCTTCGAAATGCTTTAAGGAAGGTTCCTTCGCTTAAATCTTCGACAACTTCTAAATGTATTGCTCGT